TCCGGACTCCAGAGGGCCGCCCCTGCATAGCCCAGGTGGCGGGGCCTGCAGGCCGGTGCAGGGGTTTGGCAGAGAGGCTGAGGCATGGGGGATCCCGCAGGCAGAGCCCCTGGCCCCAAGGGGGATGGAACGCAGCAGCCGGAGCTGGAGGCAGCCCCAGATGCAGGCTGACCTCCTTGGGCTTTGGCGGGAGTCCAGCGTTGAGCCCCTGAGCGCTGGACATAATTAAGCAAAGCCTGTGCAGTAGAGAGGCCCAGGGCTGTGCACGGGGGCTGCACGAGCTCCCAGTGCAGGGGAGAGAGGCGCACGCTCGCTCGCTCTTTCTAGGTCAAGGTTGAAGGAAATAGTTGGAGCTGTGGAGAGGGTGGGGGACAGCTCCGAGCGCATCTGTCGGCTGTATGCAAGCCGGCCTCCGCCTCCGCCACCCACGGGGAGTTGCCAAACCCCAGCCAGGACCCGCCACCCTCCCGCCGGCCCTTGACGCCTGCCACAATGACTTAGAGGCCACAGTGAGGGGTGCAGTAGGAAACACAGAGCAGCACAAAAGGGTCCGATCCGGAGAGGTGCTGAGCTGCTGTGTCTCCTGTTGAAGTTAGGGGGAGCTCAGCACTTTTCAGGATGAAGCCAGGCCTATTAAAACTCCAGGGTCTCTCCCCTCTTCCCTCCCCCCTCTAAAACATGCAACCGTCCCTCAACTCCTTGATTTGTTTTGTTTTTTTTTCCTGCTCTGAAACCTCCCTTCCTTAGATTCCCCCCACCCCTGCACCAGTGGAGCCTTTGATCTTCTCAGATCCCCCCTCATGTAGCTAGACTCCTTCCCTCCCTTGCACCAACAGTGGACCCGACTTCCCCCGACTCTCCGCATCTCTGTGCTGTGTCCCCTCCCCCCCCCACCCCCGGGCTCTAGGCCTCAGGCCACCTCGGCCCTGGGGGCACTGCTGGATGTGTAAATAGCCATGGGTGGGTGTCCTTCCCTCCAGCCAGGGGGAGCCCCACAGGAGGTGAGGAGCGTTAAGCGGCTGGGCTGGGATAAAGGCAGACCTGAGTTTGGCAACCCAGTCCTGTCTGACTTTGGACAAGTCACCAAAGGTCACGTGTTCCCAAAACGACCTTGGCATTTAGGGCTTGATTTAGTCTCCTAAGTCACTTATGGCAATGGGAAAATCACTTAGCCCTTGTCTATGCTACAGATGCTTTGCCGGTTTAGCTGTCTTGGCAGAGCCGCCTGATGCAGACACACTTGTATGCGGACAGAAGGAGTTTTTCTGCTGGCAGAGTAACACCCCCGCGATGTTAAGCTATGTTGCCAGAAGCATTCTTCTGCAGCATAGCTGTGTCTGCCCCCGGGTTTCTGCTGGGTTGGCTGTGGGGGGGTTGCACACTGGAGTGTAGATGGGGCCTTAGGCATTTTTGACCATTTTATCCTTAATTTGTCTGTGCCTAAGCTCCTTGTTTGAAAGATTTGGGGTAACAAACTCCGTCTCTCCTGCTCTTTGTCTGGTCACACACAGAGTTTGTCCTGGTATAACTATCTCTGTGAGGCACATGATGGCTTTTTTTTAACCACTGTAGTTAAACTGGTGTAACCCCTGGTGTGGATGGAGCTAATTTGGTATAAAGGAGTCCTATACCAGTGTAGCTCATTCCCATTCCTGTATGGGAAGGGGAATAGCGATCCCGATGTAAGCACCTTTATACCACGATAACTTCGGCCACACGAGGAGTGTTGTGTGGCTTAAACGAAACTGGAATAGTTAAAGCTGTTCATGTTTGGTGTGTTGACAAGCTGTAACCGGGTCGGCCGCCATCTGTGCTCCCCTCACGGCCTGGAGTCACTACTGGCAGCCTGCCTCAGTTTCCCCTCTTGGACTGTTCAAATAAACTTCATCCAGCATTTTTTTTTTTTTGGGTAGTCAGAAATACCCTTCCTTGGGAACTGGGTTTAATAAAAATAAAATAAACTCCAGACAAAGCTCACAATCCCAGAACAAACCCCAGCCAAAAGGCCACATGAAGCAAAGGTTTCTCTCCCTCCTTCCTGCCTGAGGCCTTTCCTGCTTTGGCAGGCCTCGGTCCTGCTCGGCTGGAGTCTCTATCCGAACTCCCAGGACTCTCTGCTACAGCATGCTCACCCCTAGCAATCTGAGCCCTGAGCATCCCTCCCCTCTTCTTGTGTTTCACGGCGAAGCAGGCTCCCTTGATGCGGCTCTGACCGCCAAGCACAGGCCCCCATAATTCAAGAATTACAATCTTTCACCTTTCCCATTATTCTTAAAGACTTGCAGTGTTGCTCCATTTCCGGCCGCTCTTACTAGGCCTTACAGCAAACGTTTTACAAGGTGAAGGCCTCTACATTTTACATATAAACAGCCCCTTTGAATGGGTACACTCTGCATTCCCTCAGGAGACGACCAACTGTTTCTTGGACCCACATAATCTTAATGTTTGTTTATTAGAAACAAATGATTATTTGAGCCACAATGGCTGGTTGCAATTTTAAATAAACCCACTTTGCTCCGTCTCTCGTGGCCTGGGAGTAGATCAGCATTTTCCCTTCCCTTGCAGCATCCAGCTGCTTCCAGATCACTGTATGACAGAACATACCCCTGTGTTCACACTTGACAAGCTATTTTAATAATCTTTGTACAGAATAAGCCTTGTAAGCTATCATTTGAAAACTCATAACTGACTGGTCTGTATTGTCCTGGTCAGTGAAATGTGTGGCAACAGTGTATGGGAAGACATAGGCGCCAACTCCGTGAGTGCTCCGGGGCTGGAGCACCCACAGGGAAAAAATGGTCCCCCTATCAGAACCTTTTCCCTCACCCCAGCACCTCCTGCCCGCCGGTGAGCCCCGCCGATCAGCGCCTCCCCCCTCTCCCTGTGCCTCCTGCCTGCCACAATCAGCTGCTTCACGGTGTGCAGGAGGCTGCGGGGCGTGGGGGATCAAGGATGCACCATGCTTGGGAGAGGGGCAGGAAGAGGTGGGGTGCGGGTGGAGCAGGGGCAGGAAGAGGCGGGGTGGGTGTAGGGCCTTCGGGGAAGGGTGGGGGGGGCAGGGTCTGGGGCAGAGCCAGAAGACGAGCACCGTCCAGCACATTGTAAAGTCAGCACCTGTGTGGGAAGATATAAGGTCCCACTGTAGGATATTAACACACCCCACAGCCCTGCCCAGGCAGAAGTGGGGGTCTGTGCTAGACAAAGGAAGGAATGTGTGCTTGCCTTAATTTGCATTTAAGCAGTAAACAGAGTCCTTAAACAGGAAGGGAAAACACAGGAAATTCAAACCAGTGAAAAAAACCCAGCAGGGAACATCCTTCCATGTAGACGTTGTCTTATGGGTCTCAGCTGGAAATGTTTTTCAAGAGGGGGCCTGAAACTGAAAAAGGAGGGACAAACACCCCACAATGCCCTTCCCTCTCTTCCTGCCTATCACATTCTCTGCCCCTGAGAAGACAAAGAAAACAGCTGTTGAACGCTGGGGGCAGGGTCCTGATCTTGAGAATTCGGTCAGTAATCTGCTGGAGCATGTGGGAGAGAATTTTCTTTGCAACTAAGATAGTTTCTTAAGTAGATACTAGTAAATGTTTTATCTTTATTGTTCTGACTTTTATGCCTCATTCCTTATACTCACTTCAGATCTCTTTGCAGTTAATAAATTTGTTTGACTGTTTTATCTAATCCAGTGTGTCTAAATTGGAGTGTCTGGGTACTGTATTTAAAATAATAAACTGGCATATTATTCCCTTAAAGGAATAATGGACGTAATATCTTTGTACTGTCCAGGAGAGGGCTGGGCAGCACAGATGTACATTGCTGGGGGAAGTTCTGGGACTGGGGCCATGCTGGGGTTACTCTGCAGCATAACCCAGGCTGGTAAGAGCCAACGTGTGGCTCTTGCATGCTGGAGGCTGTGTGTGAGCAGTCCCAGTTGGAGGTTCTGCAGGAAGGTACTGTAAAGGGGTTACAGGGCAGGGGTGACCCAGCTACTCGTTAGTCTGGATTGTGCCCTGGTATGTGTCACGCTCGAAGGTATGACTCCTTAGTAATCAGGGTTGGCTGGCCCCAGGCCTTTCAGCCTCTAGGGGCAAGACACCCTGTTATACAAGCCCATGGGCTCAAAGTCCCATGGAAGTTAGGCATCTAAATACCTTTGAGGATCTGAGCTAAGCATTTCAGGACAGGGACTATCTCTCACTAACACCACCTTTATACTAGGAGCCCTTTACCATGACAGGAATACCAGCATACCGTACTGACCAATGACTCCTAATGTCACAACAGCTATATCAGTAGAACTGTGCTCTGTACGTAGGGTGACCAGATGTCCCGATTTTATAGAGACAGTCCCAATATTTGGGTTTTTTTCTTATATAGATGCCTACTACCCCCCCCCCCCAACCCGTCCTGATTTTTCACACTTGATATCTGGTCACCCAATCTGTACAGGTCTAGTTAAGCCCACCCCCATAAGCAAAACAAGCTAAACTAATAAAATACCAGCTTTGCCGGTACTGCTGCGTCTACACTAGAGGGTCTAGCCAACACTGCTCTGTTGGTTAGGGATCATCCCTCTGCACTGAGGTACACTGGCAGAAGTCTGTAATGTAGACGTAACCTAAGTCTGTGAACAGTGCCCAGCACACCAGGGCCTTGATCTCATTTGGAGGCTGCACGTGCTACTATCACATAAATAACATTGTGGTGGAGAAAATCCTACGATGGAGGGTCTGCAGCCCTAGAGACAGAGAGCTGCCAGGGCCCCTGGAAGTTAGGAATTAAAGCAGGTGATGATCTTTTTGCATGTATTAAACTGTTTTATTTGCACAGAATAAGCTCCTTGAGAATGAACTGTTTTTGTTCTGTGTTTTGTACAACACCTGGCATTACAGGGGCCTGATCCATGGCTGGGGTTTCTCGGAGCTATTGCAATTCTCTTAATTCTTATTATAAATAAGAGAATCTGCTGGTAAATGCAAAAAAATAATTTCTCCAGGTGGTTTTTTTCATTCAAATGTATTTTTTATTTTTTTCGAAGCATCATACAGAGGTGCATTATTTTTAATTTCATGAAAAACCAAAGCACACAACATTCTGTTTAGTTCTGACATACAGGTGACAAGGCTACAGAATAATCCTAACACAATATATCTCAAGGTAGGTTTGGTTTGGGCCACACGGGCCAGACAACAATGGTCCGAGTGAGGTACAGTGCAGGCCGGATTCTCACACTAAAGTCAGCTTTGTCCTACGGTCCCTTTCTATCCTTTTTTCTCACAAGGGGAAAAGCCTCTGCTCATGGTCTAATCAATAGTTAAGTAGACAGAATTCTGCCATGTGCACAGACACACAATCTCTTTCGCACACACAAATACATTCCCACACGTGATCACCGTTTCCTCTCTCTCTCTCACACACACAGTGCTCAGTTCCAGATCTGGCTTGCACACTGCCACTTAAACATCTGAGCCAACTGGGCTCACTTGGCACCTTACAGGGGTGTTTAGGCAACTAACTGCCTGTTCAAGAGGCCAAATGTAGAACTGAGTGCCTTAGCTGAGCGTATCCAGTTTGAAAATTGGACTTACGCTTAGTATCTCTTGCTACCAGCACCAGGCAGCAACAAATCCTGCAAAACCACCTTCCCCATGTGGAAAAGACTGTAACATGCACACACTCTAAGCCCTTTAGTGAGTTCCATTCACATCATTTATTGCTCAGCTCTGGGATCTTTGGGCCTGACTCCGGTTCCAAGCCAGTGTGACTCTTGATTTCAGTGGCATTACACAGGGTAAAGCTGGAGTTACACAGAGCAGAATCAGTCCATTCTCTTTCTTTCTTTTTTTTTTTTAAACACCATTCAATTCATGTTCAAGTCTATCTTTTAAAAAACTTGCCAAAGATCCAGAATCCTTAGTGAATCCAGCATTTAATAAACGAGGTAGGTGGTGCTGCCTCATTCACCTCACACCCTTACTTGCCCCCATTCATTCTTCCAGTGCATGGAGGGGCTTCTCCTCCAAAGAAGACAGTCCCCCCAGAGGCCACCTAAACACAAGGAGCCTGAGTCTCCATCTCCTTACCCAGTTTTATGCTTACGCAGCTCTGCTGACTTCAGGGGGAGTTACTCCTGCTTTAAACCAGAGTAAGGGAGAGGAGTGTCAGGACTAAGAACTATCAGCTGGAGTCCGCAAGGTGCTATCAGGAGCTGCTCAGCACTTTGCATGGTCCGGCCCTATAAAGGAGGCATCATCTGGTTTAAAAAAAACCCAACAAATCATAGAGGATGCGATCCAACACCCATCAGAGTCAATGGAGAGACTCCTATTGGCTTCAGTGGGCTTTGAGGCAGGCTCATAATTTCTAAAGCACAAATTTCTTCTTTACGTTCTCAATAACCCCTGAGATGATTCTACCTGAAAGAATTTCTACCACTTATCTCTATTTATGCTCTTTGTTTGTTTGTTTTCGCATTTCACTCATTTTAGAGACAATGCGGCGAGGGAAACAACCAACTAGTTGGTTTAACCTTATTTCTTCTAGTCAATTTCAATTCCTGGTTCTCATGCCCTAGCAGCTGGGCTGTGGGGTCAGCTTCTAATCTCACTTGCCCTGGTAAGAATCCAGATCATCTCTACTGATGTCAAAGGAGTTGCTCCAGATTTGTATGGGTCTAACAGATCAGAATCTGGCTGGGTGGCAGCCACAGCAGGGGAATGTTTCAATGAAAACAAAATGGATTTAAAAAAAAAAAAGTATATTAATATTAGTTTAAAAACACTAAAGTGGACATGGTGGTCCCTAAATCTGTCTCTACAACTATCCTTTAAAAAAGCCTTCCTAGACTGGCACACACAGCCTCCAGCATGCAAGAGCCACACGTTGGCTCTTCCTAGACTATCAAATGGTCCCCCCAACTTTCTGCAAGGGGGATTCTTTCAAGCATGCACATATACCCTTCCTCATCCCCTAGCATTCTTTTACAAGGCAGAAGCACAATCAGAATATTTTTAAATACATTTTTTAAAAAATAAATTACAAACATCCTTTATCACTAGTGTAAAATATACAGGTCATTTCACCCGCTCTTTTTTTTTTTTTTTTTGCTTTTTACATAGACTCTAACTACAAAAGCATTATAAAACTCTTTTTTTAAGATCCATTTTATCATTATTTTCTTAATGCCAAATATATAAATTTATCCTCTTCCTATTTACATATTGAATTCCCCGGGACAGATGATAAGTTAATACAAACAAAAGAAAACCAGCTGGGTTCCTTGAAGTCAGTGAAGCGCTGATTATTTAGATCTGCTGAAGATTTGGCCTGAAGTCTTTATTCTACACTAACTAAATCATACAAACAAAGATTGTGAAGCTCGTGATGTTTCACAGACTGAGGGCCTGATTCAGATCTGCCTTAGTCTGGTCTGATTGGCAGAGTTACATGGATGCAGAATTGCATGGGCTCTTAGATCGTTGGAGGGCTTGACTCGAGGAGGGATGCTGAGAAAGGGCAGAGCAGGTGCAATCCTCTGCACAGCTGGAAAAGGATCTGAACACGGGCTGGATCCCGTAAGGTGCTGAGCACCCTCCACTCTCATTGTGCTTGTTGGAGGCTCTGAGCCCTTCTTGGGACGTCCCACCCATGCCACTGTCCAGATGAAATTGCTGCAGTAAGGAAAAGCAGCACCCGTGTCAGGTTATATAAGGGATCCAATCCAGCGCTGGTGTAAGTGAACACGACCCTAGCGGGGCTCAGCGGCAGCTGCACCTGCTTACACCACTCAGCACTTGGCCCAAGGTCAGCGATGCTGTATTGTGTTAGTCAGAGGGAGCCACATTCTGGGGGAAATCCTGCCCGAGCGGGATTCGAACACAGCTTAGTAACATGGCCAGGCTGAGGATACAGCATCTGCCTGGAGCTAGTGCTCCCTTCCCTTCCCTTCCCTGGGAGATCTATGGGGACTGGGGGTGAGGATGTTGGAGCATCTGGGGTTGGCCACGGTTTCTACCCAGCCCTTTATTGACTGCAAAGGGGTTTGTTAAAGTAACTTGTTATAGGCGCTAATTACATGTCATCCGTGATGAGAGCGCAGAATTCTAACCCCCATCCTCTCGTCCTGAGCTGGACATGGTGCCAGCCACAGCCACACTTTGCCTGCACACAGGAGATCCCAGGGCCATCAGCGAACGCTTTGTCCCCCTCCGGTAACATTTTTTTTCAGGCCTGGCTGCAACGTGAGCCCCGAACCAGGGGAGCCCGGTTCAGTTCCCAAGCAAGTGCCCCAGAGGCCCTGGAAATAAGTATAAAGGAGCAACATGTACAGCTTAGGGTCCTGTCTGAGCAGAGTCCTCAGACCGGTTAGCACCAAAGTTTGTCCGGGAAAGGGCTCGGAAGCTGGTGGGAGGGGAGGTCGGGGAGAATTCACCCCAGCCTCAGGCTCCTGGGCAAAACCTGCCTGACTTCCCCTCTCACCCTGCCCTCCCTGTGCAGAAGGCTGCAGGATGGATCCCTCGGCTAGCCCCATCCCTCCACCGTGGCAACCTGGATTCTGTTAGCCCGAGGCCACCCCGGATTGACGGGCACTTGGTGCTCCCTTGGTTCCATGGCCACAAGGTGATTCTAAAGGCTGCCTCTCCACCTTGGCTTTTCCTCACTTGCCTTCTTCCTTGCTCTCTTTTGGAGCCACCTTCTTCATCTGGGAGGAGAAGCAGCCCTTCCAAGCCATCTCCTCGGACTCTGGCTGAGTGCTTACTGTTTTGCTTTGTATGCCCTGGGCTACATACACCAGGGCCAGGGTCTGCAAAGAGCCCTGCCAGTGGGATTAACTCTTTAACGGTCTGTAGAAAAATGAAATCTGGCAGGAATCATTACTACCCAGGGGCTGAGGCAAAAGGGAGCACCAGACCACATGCCCGTCTGTGTAGCGGTACATACACGGCCGGGCAAGCAGATGAGAGCCAAGATTCCCTCTTCCCCGGAGAGCTGGCCCTTTATCCCAGCAGGTGGGTACAACAGATCAAGCCATAAAAAGAAAACAAAAAAAGAGAAATATATTCCCGGGTCACTTAGCTGCTGAACCAGCGCTGAACGGAGTCCACGTCTTGGGTGCCCATCTCTAGCAGTCTGGATGCAGCTTGGAAGCACTATTTGTCCTCCAGGTCAGGTTTTGAAGTCTTGTAAAGTTGCTTTGTGGTGCTACAGAATCGGAAGCGCATGTAATGCGTGTGTGTGTGTGTGTGTGTGTGTGTAGCTACATAGATTCCTTGGCGTGTGTGTGTGTCTGTGTGTCACACACACACACACACACATTTCTTTGAACCCAGACTCTGGGCTCTCTGAAAAGCCTGGGAAAGGAACCCTCTGTTCCTTATATGGAGGACACAAGAAAGCAGGGGCTCAGATCGGCATCTGCACTTCATGGTACACATCACGGCCTTCTGTCTCATCAAAGGTCACGTCGGCATCGTCTGCGTCCAGCTGGAAGGAAGCGAGGATACCATTAGGGCTCTCGTGGGATGGGGGGTAGGAGCAGAGAGAACCAGGAAGCCCTGAGGGCCTGCCCTGCCCAGTCGTGTGGCTCTCTTCTCAGGGCACGGCAATGGGACTCACATCTTGGGTGCTGGAGGATGGGGATGGAAGATCAAATGCTGTCCAGAAAGGAATTGGGAAGCGCCCTCCTCTCTGATGATTCTCTATCAGGGAGCTGCTCCCCACCTCCTCCATGTCCTCCCCTCCCACCTCTTGGAGCAAAGGCTTGGGATGTGGGGCAATGGATACCTACACACTTGAGTTCGATGTCCTTGAAGATCTTGGGGAGCAGGAAGCGGCGCAGGGGCACCGTCAGGATGAGGAGGAACGGCAACGCCAAGGAGGCCGGGGTGGACTTCACCACCCACAGGGTGGCCAGGCACATGATCTGGGTGAACGTGAAGATGTGCATCCGCCAGGTCTTCACCTTTAAGGCAAAAGCCGGGGAGATTCAGAGCTGCCCCGGTGGCCCCCACCCCTGAGACAGCACCCCCCCGTACCCCGCTTGGGCAGAGCTGCAACCCACTTGATGCACAGGATCCCATGAACCAGCAGGAGAGTCTAGCACCAAGAGCAAGCACCTCCCCTCTCTGCATGCCCCACACTTCAGATCCGTGCCAGGGAGAGGAATGGGGTGTCTCCCCGCTGCTCCCCAGACCTGGGGAAGCAGGGGGCATCTGCAGCCTGGGACTGGGGAGGTGAGGGTCTCTGGGGACAGGAGAGAGGAAGGGTTTCCGTGCAGGTGATCTGGGCAGTGGATGGTCCATGCCGAGTCTGCCCTGGCCCTGCCCCTCCAGGCCCCAAGTGGGAGCGGGATGATCTTTCCTCCTTTCTGATAAGACTGGTGCTGAGTGCTGTGATCCCAGCGGCCTCAGGGCTGGGCTGGCCAATGCGCTGCCCCTGCTCCCCCAGCACTGTGAGTTAGCACATGAGGGGCTGGCTTAGATTATGCCCCCTGCAAGACTTCTATTCGACATTGGTGAGGCCTCATCTGGAGTACTGTGTCCAGTTTTGGGCCCCACACTTCAAGAAGGATGTGGATAAATTGGAGAGAGTCCAGTGAAGGGCAACAAAAATGATTAGGGGTCTGGAACACATGAGTTATGAGGAGAGGCTGAGGGAGCTGGGATTGTTTAGCCTGCAGAAGAGAAGAATGAGGGGGGATTTGATAGCTGCTTTCAACTACCTGAGAGGTGGTTCCAAAGAGGATGGCTCTAGACTGTTCTCAATGGTAGCAGATGACAGAACGAGGAGTAATGGTCTCAAGTTGCAGTGGGGGAGGTTTTGGTTGGATATTAGGAAAAACTTTTTCACTAAGAGGGTGGTGAAACACTGGAATGCGTTACCTAGGGAGGTGGTAGAATCTCCTTCCTTAGAGGTTTTTAAGGTCAGGCTTGACAAAGCCCTGGCTGGGATGATTTAACTGGGATTTGGTCCTGCTTCGAGCAGGGGATTGGACTAGATGACCTTCTGGGGTCCCTTCCAATCCTTATATTCTATGATTCTATGATTCTATGATTCTCCAGCCGCCAGACCCTGTGTGGGGAGCTAGGTTCCGTCGGGCCCTGTGGCCCCTGCCAGTTCAGGACTCAGACGGGATCTGTGCACAGTTTGCTGTGGCTCAGAGGGGCCATTAGGGTCCCCCAAGTCCTGGGGCCTCCTGGGAAATTTTCCCTGTAGCCACGTAAGTCTGAGGAGCTGCAACCAAATGTGAGTTCTGGACCAAACAGGCCAGAGCTGTGCGGTACCGACACCCATCTTGTCTGCAACACACCTGATAGCGGAGAGCGTGGGAGGACCTGTCCCCTTTGCCCTTCCTCAGCTGGGAGAGCCTGTTGCCACCCCACCCAGCCAAGGAAAACCCCCCACAACGAAGCAGAGAGGAGCAGCGCCCTCACCCGTTTGACGTAGGGCTCGTCGGGGTGGTACTTGGGTGGCTTCAGCAGGAGGAGGATGCGGTCATAAAGCTGGATCCCGTTCAAGGAGGTGACCCCCATGTAGAGGAAGATCCCGAAGAGCACAGCCAGCGGGATCAGCTTCAGGATGGGCTCCATGAGGATCGAGAGACCTGCCGGGGAGAGAGGCGTCCCTGTGAGAATGGAGTGGCCTAGAAACGCCAGCTTGGCTGGAGGGTGAGCCTTCCCTTCACGGGCCAGCTGGAGAGCTGCCAAGAGCCCAGCCCGGACCTCCGTGCCAGCACCGGGCCAGCGTTCCTCTGCATTGTCCCATTTCTCACGTGCGCAGGGAAAGGTCCCAAGAGACGCCTTGTTAGCCACAGAAGAGGCTGCAGGAAAGCACGTCTCCTTTGTCCCCTCAGCACCATCTTCATCCCCGCCCTGGCAAGTTCTCACCGCAGCCAATCTGTCCTTGGCTGCTTGCTTGAGAGGGAAGCCATCCATGGCTGTAGTTTTTGCACCACAGATGCTGGTCCTGCTAGGAACTGGGCCACGACCATCTCCGCAAACACAGCCATGCTCACTGCCCACAGGGACTGAATCTGAACTAGCCACCTAGAGGGGCCGTGCTCCATCATCCTATTCCCAGCCCACTTGAGCCATCCAGGCTGCTGGGATGGTGCCCTCCTGAAAGCCCGTTTAGAAAGACTCACCTACAAGGATGGACACCAGGAGCCCACTGATCCTCTGCTCCTTGACCTCCTGGACATGGACCTTCTCCCCAGGGGTGGTGGCCTTGGCCATCACTGTCAGGGCGTTGGCGTGAGTGATGGTCCTCACCGTGGTGGCACTGAGCCAGGGCATGCCAAAGAGCGCGGCTATGCCTCCCATGCCGACAATCAGCAGCAGGTCCAGATGGAAACCCGAACCCTTCACCAGCTTCCTCTCGGGCTTGCTCACAATCAGCCTGGGGGAGAGGGTGAAATAGCATCCGCTGTAATCCAAGGATTGTGCCCATCCATCCCTCCTCACCCCATCAGCCTCCCTGCTCTCACCCCCCTGAAGCAGCAGAAGAGAGGACAGCCCTTCCAATCCTCAGATCTGCAGAGGGATGGAGCCCCCAGGATCTCTTCAGCAGTAAGGTCGGAGCTCTTCTCTTTCTTCTTCTGCCTCTCCATCCCTCCTTTTCTTCCTCTTTTCTATCCCTTCCTCCTCTTCTTCTCGCTTGCTCTGCTGTGTCTCCATCTCTCCACCACTCCTTTTCGCAGCCCCAATCTCCAGGTCTCCCTCTCCCTCTCCCCCACCCTCCAGTCCCTTACGTCAGGGGTTCTCACCCTTTTTCTTTCAGAGGCCCCCCCCAACATGCTATAAAAACTCCATGGCCCACCTATGCCACAACAACTGGCTTTCTGCATATAAAAGCCAGAGCCAGCATTAGGTCAGCTGCAAGCAGGGCAGTTGCCCAGGGCCCCACACCGCAGGAGACCCCGCAAAGCTAAGTTGCTCAGGCTTCGGCTTCAGCCCTGGGTGGCGGGTCTTGGGGCACCGGGCTTCAGCCCTATGTGGTTGGGCTTCGCCTTTCTGCCTTTGGCCCCAAGAAGTCTAATGCTGGCTCTGCCCGGCGGACCTCCTGAAACCTGCTCGCAGCCCCCCGGGGGCCCCGGAGCCCTGGTTGAGAACCACGGCCTTACGTTGTGATCTGCGACTCCAGGAAAATGAGGATAAAGACCAAGACGGCAGGAAGGGCAGCACCAAACATCATCCAGATTGGGAAGTCTTTGTTTTTCCCCAGCGGATGGATGAACCATCCCCGGGCAGTTGTATTGGAGACCTGGAGGCCTTTAGGAACGCTAAGTTTCTGGAAGAGAGACCGAGAGAGATGAATGATCCAAATGCCCGAATCCAGAGCCAGGCAGTGGCAGAAGGGACAGAGCACCCGGGAGTCTGCAGCAGAGGGTGAGCATGGGCGTGGGGCCCTGAGAGGTCACCAGCATGGAGCGCTCCAAAATGGAGACTGGCCCTTCTCTAATGCCTTTCATCTGAGCACTCTGCAGAGCAGTTAATTAATGCAACCTCATTATCTCTGCCCTTGGAGGTTGGTACCAAGAGGTGAAATGACTCACGGATGATCACATGGCCAGTTGGCTGCAGACATAGGAATAGAACCCAGGAGTCCTGATGCCCCGTCTCCAGCTCTAATCATTCGACAACACTCCATGCCCAGAGTAAGGAACAGAACCCAGGAGTCCTGATGCCCCATCCCCTGCTGTAGCCCGTGAGGGCCTGGTCTACACTAAACATTTAGGTCAACATAGATCTGCCAGTCAGGGGCTTGAAAAATCTACCCCCCTGGGCACCGTAGCTATGTTGACCTATGTGGACACAGCAAGGTTGACAGAAAACCGCTTCTGTTGATCTACCTATCATTGTTCAGCGAGGTCTTGTTCCTTCAGCACTGGAGAAAAACCTTTTGTTCCTGTAGGCTGGGTCTACACAACGGGAGTATCCCAGCATAGCCCCCCCTTAATCACGTTCCTTTCTCAGATACAGGCTTAGAAACCAGGAGTCCTGAGGGCCAGTCTCCTAGTCAAACCACTAGCCCGCACCCTGTCCACCGTCAGTGAAGTCTGCAAAGTGGATGGAAGGAGCGACACACACAGACATGAGATCGTGAGCATTCTCAGGCCAATACCGACCGCTCATGCCGAATCTGGCCCCTGCAAAAAGCTGGGGCCACATGCATCAATGCACCCTTCCCCTTCTCCACTCACTCACCTGGGTGTATGTGTTGTCCTTCATGAAGAAGTCAGCCAGCGCCATGATGAAGATGGAAATGGGGACCCCAAAGTCACCAATCACGCGCCGGAGCTAGGGAAAAACAGCTGTGTGAATCAAACAGCCACTGTGTTAATGCTGGGGGCAGGGTCTGGGATACAGGCCATTTCACCTGGAGGGGGCACTGGTTCCAATCTGGCCCCAGGTGTGGGGGGACTGGCTCACCCGGTGGGGCCTAGGAGATGGTACACAGGGCTTCTCACCTCCTTGCGTCTAATCTGGGAGCAGGTCAAGGGGACTGGCTGGCTCACAGTGGGTTTAGGAAGGGGACTCGAGGGGCTTTTGCCTGTAGGTTCAGCCCAAGTTGGTGAACTGGCAGCAAGAGGGAATGGAATAATGAGCCTTTCACCCTGAGGTCAGCAGTTCAGATCTAATAACTCTTCCTTTGCCTGCACCTGTCTGGTGGGGGACCCCGGCAGCTCCCCCCAAGCCTTGGCCATGACTTGCTGGGAAAGCGGCCTGCATGTCCCTGCTGGTGAAAGCCAGGCAGGAGGGAAGTACTGGGTGTGAGAGGGGTCTGTGGGTGGAGTCCCTCAGAAAGGAGGTCAGAGAGCTACAGGAGGAAGCGGCTTGTCTGCGTAGCATCCAGGAGCGTGAGGACCGTGGAGATGTCTGGGGTGGAGGATGCTGGCCAACTACAGATGAGTGCAGAAGCCCCAGAAGAGAGAGGGGAACTGGCTGCTCTGGGAGGGAGAGGCAGAGGCTGGCTGCTCTCGGGTACAAGGCTCCCACCCAGCTCCTTTGTCCATCGAGGTGAAGAACCAGCCCATGCTGTACTGCGACAGGAGGCGAGGAGCAGACCCCGTGGGCGGAGGAGGAGCCATTCGCCCCCAAGGGCAGTGGACGCCTCCATCTGCAGACCTGACCCAGGGCCTCTGTGACCTTTTAAGCATCTTTGCCTCTCTGGCGGCCTGGGTGAAAGGGGTTTGGCGGGTCTCAGGGCCGGGCCCCGATCCCAGGACATACCCCTGGCTGGCAGGCTGAGCAGAGAGGCTGAGGACCGAACGGGGCCTGGGCTGCGACTCGCGGGTGGAGGAAACGCACGGCTGGGGAGGCCCGCAGGTGGCAAGCTGGCATGGCTGCCCTAGGGAGAGACCTGACTTCGCTAACGCCCATCCCCCAGCCACTTTAAACCCAAACCAACAAGTTTAGTCCCAAATCCTGCCCCCTCCCAAGCAGCTGGGCTGGGCACTGCACGGACCGTGGGGTGAGGGGGGATCCTCCCGCTCTGGTGATGGAGCCGCTCCGCAAACCCTACCCTAGAAGTGCAGAGGAGGTAACCCGCTGCTCAGGTTAAAAAGTCCCAGCTGAGGCCTTGGCCTTCAGCCCAAGTCGCAGTGACTTTTAGTGCTGGGAGTCCCAGGTTCCAGCCCCACGGTCGGACAACGGGGCGAGTGGGGCCCCAGCAATGTGGTTCCCCCGGGGGCTGTATGAAGGAGCCACAGCAGGAGGCCGGGCCTGGCGCTGAGACCCACCTTGCCGGGCAGGAAAGCGCTGTTCTTGAACTTGCGCAGGAAGAAGGCGATGAAGAAGGTGCCGGCCATGAGGACCAGGGAGAGCAGGGCTGTGTTGGGTTGCGGGTCTCTGGACCCGTAACTCTTCTGCAGGGGGTGCTTCTGGAAGATCTGGGGAGGAAGCCAGCGGGTCAGGGAGGCAGGATGGAGGGCAGGTGGCAATCGCAGGATGGTCCTGAGTCCATTTCTCTAGAGCCCCACCCACCCCGAGCCCGGCTCCTGCTTCAGCCCATTCATAGGGGCAGCGGTACCCTCCCCTTCCGGGGCTTTGTGCCACCCTCCTCACAGGGCCACCCAGTGGCGGGGTTGGGTTAATCTTAGAGCATGATCCCTTTGGGACAAAAACCCCAGCCCCTCTTTCCTGCCTAGAGCAGACACTGTCAGCACACCCCCCCCCGCACAGTTTCTGGGCATCCCTGGGGGATGGCTCACAGGCTACAATTTCTATTGATCCCCGTGGGATTGAGATTCAGTGGAGGGGAGCTGTCCCAGACAGGGGGCGTGGGAAGGGCTTGACTGGGGAAAGAAGGGGAAGTGAAATCCCACAGGAAAGGCAAGAGACAGATTGGACTCTCCCCACTTGACCTGTCTTCACTGCCCCCCATGGCAGGGGTGTGACCCCGTAGCCTCCAAGGAGACAGGAGGCTGCTATGGCATGGGGGTGGGGAGGGGACTGCGAAAAGAGAGAGGGTTTAGACTCGGGTCCCATTCCCATGCCTCCCACGCACCTGCCACCCCTGGCTACCTCTCCCCTGCCCCAGCCCTTTACGGGGTTTTATTCCAGGAGCCCATTCCTCCCACAGCGTTAAAGGAGACCAACGAAGCAGAGCGTGGATCAGGGCCCAGTTGCACTGTACTGGGTTCAGTGCCGCTGCTGGCATCCCCTGATACCCCTCGTGGGCTGGCCACCTGCCCGCTGTCTGTGTTCGTGATCCGATCCGTGTCCGCGTCCAAATGCAGCACGGGCAGCCGCAGACAGGACCAACCAAATGGAAAAACCAAATGCCCGGCTGGGGTTTTCAAACAACCCCCCTCCTCCAAATGCTATTGAAATTCAATTGGAGCTGGGCACCTAACTCCCCTGGGCCCACTGTTACATACACCTGGCATAGCTAAGTGGTGACCAAGAGAGGGGGCTGAATAACTGTCCCCATGCACCTGCAGGGCCAGAGCGCACGGAGGGGAGGCTCTGGTGGGGAGGTGGGGTAACTAGGAAGGATGGGGTGAAACCCAGCAATGTACCCAGGAAACCCTGACAGTGAGCTCCCTAAGTCTGTGGCATTGCCCCCTTCTGGGAAGGGGGGGAGCCCCATTGCATGGGCTGATTAAAGCCAGCCCTGGAGAATGCAGGGCCAGAGATAATCCTGTCCCAGTAAGGAGGGTGGCCTAGCTGCGTCCCTCTGTATCTTCCCCCTCGCCCGTCCGTAGGGCACTCTGACGCACAGCTGCATTGTGCTGCAGCTTGTGTTTTAGGAGCACACCTCTCTGCGTGTCTGGTGCGCTATCCCTGCTCTGGCAGGAGGGACCGGCATGTCAGGGTGTGGGCCATGGGAACGCCGAGGGAACGGCAGCAGCTGGCAGCTGTTGTGAAGGATGGGAAAGGGGCGTTATTTTTAGCATCAATATCCTCCTTGTTTCATTTGAAACAAAGCTCCAGTGAGTGGGAAACCAATGGGGCAGCTGACTGCCGTGAGTGAGTCTGTGTGTGGGTTTGTGTGTGTCATTGTGTGTCCATGTGCTCTGTGTGCGTGTGTGTCCATGTGTTGCGTGACTGTGACTGTGCCCGTCTGAATGTCTGAGCGTGGTGAGTATCTGGGTGACTTGTCTGTGTGTGTCCAGGTGATGTGTGTGTCTCTCTGTGTCCAGGTGTGTGCGTGTGTCCATCTGTCTGTGAGTTGTGCGATTTCCCTGTGTGATATGTGTGTGTGTACATCTGAAAAGAGCCTCCTCTCTGGGAATCAGCCAGGGGCACCCAACAATGACAAGCTGCCACAGCTGGATTCCTCTCTTCCCCGGCCCGCCGTGGTTTCCAGCCATCCCTGGCTCTGCCCAAACAGACCGAGAAGCCCGATCTCAGGCCTGACGGCAGTGCAGAACCAGCAAAGCCTGTGCCATGCTGCTGTGGGCTGGGGGGTTCGGAGACACGGGGGGTGCGGTCTCCCAGTGCATAAACTGGAGCTGGGATTTGCATGTTGCAGCCTAGAATTAGCATCCCTGGGTGAAACTGAGGCACAGAATGGCGGCGGAGGAGGAAAAGCAGCTTATCAGATGGGCTCCATTTCCATCTCTCTCCCTGTTCTCCCTCCTGTATCTTTCTCTCTCCCCCATTCGCTCACTCTTGCACTCACTCGCTCGCTCTCAGTTTCTATGGAAACCGTGTCTCTGTGACCTCACTTCCTGCGACCAAATTATTTTTTTTAACGGGTCAGTGAAATGTGGCAAAGATGCCAGCAAAGCTTCAGGGGCAGGGTTTCCAAAGGGGCTTGTCTAGAGCAGGAACACGAGCGGTCACTTCGCGCGTGCAGCCGGCAAGGACCGTCCCGGTTAACGACGTGCCCGAGAGGCTAGGGTTGATCGCGGCCAGCGGACGTGGTTAAACACGACTAGCACTGTCTACACAAGGCAGTAACCTGTTTTGGTGCTACCATGTTATCTGGCATGTGTAAAAAAGCCCCTTACTTTCCTAATTTAGACATCCCCCCCACGCGTGCTGCATGAAATGACAGGCAAACATATGCATATATGCCGCACAGACACCGTCCACGTGATGCTCTGTTACACACCCATACGCCCACGCCTTATACGTGAACGCATTACGTACTCACGCATGCAATCTGCAAACACTCTATACACGTACCCGCACAGCCATAGGGACCCACAGCCATGTGTATCCACACGATCACATCCGGGTCCGTTACACATCCCTAGAGACGGGCATCCCGCCGTGTAGTGGGGCAGTTTCCCCACTCCGGTGGGAAAAGCCTAGTCTGATTGGGGAAGCAGCCACAGCTGGGGCCACGCCCAAGCAGGCCACAGCGGGCCCTTTAAAAGGGCTGAGAGCCAGGATCTGAGTCAGTCTCTCTCCAGCCCTGGAGGGAGAAGGATCTGGCTGCCTGGGAGCACAGGGTACCGGAAGCGGAGCAGGGCTGGGGAAGGGCAAGAGGAGCTGGGGAGCTCCAGCCTGGTAAACCCCCAGGCTGAGGCCTGGTTAAAGGCCCAAGGCAGGTACTGGGGCTGCAGAGGTGCAGCCCGGGCATAGGCAGATGGTCCAACCCCCTTGCCAGTGATGAGTGGCCATTACACTGCAGTTTGCCCCAGTGAGAGGGGGCTGGATGACGACTGGCAGTAGCCACTGAGGCAAGGTGGGCATAGAGGGCCCTATGGAGAGGAGACCCAGAGTGTGGGGGTACTGCTGGGGGCAGAACCCCAAGGAAAGGGGCAATGGCTCCGGGAGGGACACGGGGACCTGAGGCAGGTGAGACACCGGCCATTAGAGGGCGCTCCGAGGCTGGAAAGAGCTAATTCCCAGACAACCAGCAGGAGGTGCTGTGCCGGTGAGTCATCACTCTGCTGCACTCCACCTACCCACCCATTGACAGACCCAACAATCACAAGTAATCCCGTCCACCAACACAATTGTTACAAGGAGGAGGGAGAAGAATTGTTCTCCTTAACCTCTCAGGATAGGACAAGAAGCAATGGGCTTAAATTGCAGCAAGGGAGGTTTAGGTTGGACAGTAGGAAAAAATTCCTAACTGTCAGAGTAGTTAAATTGCCCAGGGAGGTTGTGGAATCTCCATCATTGGGGATATTTAAGAGCAGGTTGGACAAACCCCTGTCAGGGATGATCTAGATAATACTTAGTCCTGCCTTGAGTGCAGGGGAGTGGACTAGATGACCTCCTGGGGTCCCTTCCAGTCCTACGATGCTATGAATTATATCCACACATGTGTGAAACTCCACCCCAAATCACACAACCATGCACCCCCACCCCATACTTCATATGTGCACAATCACCCACTCACCTATGCACATGCGCAGAACATTACAAGAGTAGCACTACGGAGCAACCTGCCACCAGGCCGGGGATGGACACAGTGGACAAAGGGACCCAACCCGCTCAAGGGACCCACCCTGGGCAGGTCAGATACCAGCCGGGTCTGTCTCTTGGGCAACCTGCACTGTGACAGCAATAAAGCCTCTTTGAACCGAGCCGCGGGGTGGCCCTCCCCGCCCCGGCATTACCGCAATGAGCTTGGCGAAGGTCTCGTAGATGAAGATGAGGGAGATGAGGAAGGAGAAGATCTCCTGGGTGTAGCGTGAGATGTAGCGCACCAGGAAGCTGCCCTCGAAGGCCACCACCAGCAGCACCAGGATGATGAGCCAGAAGCCGATCCAGACCCGGCCCACGATGTACTCCATGCCGTAGCTCTCACAGAACTGGGGGCGAGAGGGAAGCAAAGCAGGGCTTGAGTCTCCTGTGGTCCTTTTCCTTCTCCTCCGGTGGCCTCTCAGCTGGTCTCATCTCCACTTCTACCTTGGACCAGACAGGGCCCGGACCCACCAAGCTCCCCCTAAAACCCTTCACACTCTTCTTCCCAACCCCAACTCCGCCCCCCAAGAGACTCTATCCCGCCTCCCCTCCTAACCAACCCCTGCCTCCCCCCACCACCTCTTCACCCCAGCTCCCCCAGCTCCTGCTCCTAGCAGCCCAGCTCAGCCTGGACAGATCAGTCCTTCCTGCACATCTGTGACAAAGCGGGACTGTTCTTAATGTTTCCTCTGAATAGTGTGGGGGTGCATCAGTTTCCCCTCTGCAGTTCTTAAGTATCTAGGTGGTGGGGTAAGGGTGTATGATCGTTGCAGAGCCCTAGAGGACAGGTGTGTGCAGGGGTCTGGACACAGAGAATGGCCGACACCCTGTTTCCTGGCAACTGATGGCCTGGGGCCTTCACCCCTGCAAGGTGAGAGCTAAAGGGTTGGAGAACAAAGGAATCAGGTGACCTCCTGGCCCAGGAAAGGGACAAAGCCCAGAGAAGGAGGGGCTGGAGAGAGTTTCAGTTTGGGGCTGGCTGGGGACAAGGAATGAAGTGCAGACGTGGTTGTCTGGCTCACTGCCCCCCAAAATGGACCCGGCTGAGGGGTCCTGTTCTTTGCACCTACAAGCTCTGTGTTAGACCATGTTCCTGTTGTCTAATAAAAACCTGTTCTGTTTTACTGGCTGGCTGAGAGTCACGTCTGACTGCAGAGTTGGGGGGCAGGACCCTCTGGCTTCCCCAGGACCCTGCCTGGGCGGACTCGCTGGGGGAAGCGCACGGAGGGGCAGAGGATGCTGAATGCTCCGAGGTCAGACCCAGGAAGGTGGAAGCTGGGTGAGCTGTGTGTCCTGAAGACAGTCTGCTCCCAGAAAGGAGACTTCCCCAGAGTCCTGCCTGGCTTCATGGGGAGCAGTTCCAGAGCATCGCCCGGGGACTCCGTGACAACATTCTCCCCACCACTACCCCACGCCCTCCTGCCATCCAGCCTGGGACCCCGCAGCTCCATCAACCCCGGCTTGGCCTCCTTCCCAATGGCTGGGGATGCTGTGGCCTGGCAGCATGGCCCTGGGCACTGCTGGGCTTTGCTCTGTCCATGGGCTCATGGCTCCGGTGGTCCCAGGGGGTGGGGGCTGCCCCAGAGAAGGAGGGGGCAGCGCCTCCTACTGGGAAGGATGGGTTTGTGGGCTGGAGTGATCCTCAGGCAGGGGGAGCGGGTATGAAGCTGGGAAGTGGAGTCATGGGTCTCCCGCTCCCCAGGTGCTGGGGGCCTGGGCTCCGGGAAGGTTTCTGCCCCAGGGGATGGGCTGTGTAAGGCAGCCAGGGGGGCCTTATGGGAGGGAGAGCTGGACCTGCCACACCTTTCCCTGCAAAGCCACACGGGGGATCAAGCTGCGGGGCAGGTGGGGGGGGGGACAATGGGCATATGCGGGGCTAGAGGAGGGAACCAGGGCACCTACCTTAAAAAAGGCTTCTTCAAAGACCAGCAGGGGACCCGAAAAGCCAACCACCAGCAGGGGCTGAGCGCCGAGGAGGCAGAAGATGATGCCCTGTGCGGCTGTGGAGACCAGCAGCTCCGAGACCCCTATCATGTTGCTTGTCTTTTCCCCTAGAAACAACAGTGCAAGTCAGCAGAGAGGGGCGGGACCCCCCGTGGGCCAGGGACCCTCCTGATCCCACCAGGGCACTCTCCAGAGCGGGTCTGGGGTTGCCTGAAGGGGCAGGGGCCCCAGGGAGTCACCCTGGTTCCCTGGGGGCCAGCAACTGGGTCCCACTTACCCAGCAGGCCCCCGAAGGTGATGGCCGGGGAGAGGGCTGCGAAATAAATGAAGATGACGGCAGCCAGGCACTGGGCACTGAGGGCGTCCTTGATGTCGCTGAGGTATTTGGGGTAGCGGCGCTTGACGTCCCTCACCAGGCCCCCGAAGGGCCGGCCAGTCCGCCGCAGGGGGTCATCCTCCTCCTCGAGGGCCTTGTCTGCCAGGCCTAGATCTGCAGGGAGACAAAGGCACCCGTGGCCAGGCTGGGGAGGTAATGCCAGGAGTGAGGGGGAAATTCAGCCTCTGTCTTCACTCTCTCCTGGGCTTTCTCCCCACACCTGGCCCCAAGGGGCCACCGTCTCCAGAGCAATCGGGGCTCAGCTCCATGTCCACGCAGCACCAGCCTGCAAACCCTGATCTCCAGGTGCTGTCCTCTCCTCGGTGGAGAGTGGGGCTCCCCGCAATGTACTCAGTGTCAGGCTCTCCCCCAACCCCTGCAATGAGCCACCAAACCTGACCCTGACCCCCGCCCCGGGGGGCATTGGAATTCAACATCCATGCTCCCTCTGCCCTGGGTTTCTTCCACACTGCTCCCCAATAAACCTCTACCCGCCCCCAGCGCTGCCCCATTCATGCATCGCCCTCCCAAAGGATCCTTCCCATGGTGGGCAGGGACCATTGTGGGCAGGGACCAGGGGTGGTGGCTTTGGTCTGCAGGAGGTAGAAGAACCTCCATTGTCCTACTCAGGGGTCCCGCTGCTTTGATTTTCAAGGCTGTCCACCAGCCATCTACCGGCCATCTACCAAGCTGGGGGCCTCTAGGGCTAGGACAAGAAGCTTCTCCAGAACCTACATGCTGCCCCCAGACTGGGCCCTACATACCCTTTAAGATCTTCATTTCCGGCTTCTTCTCGTCTGGCAGGTACCTCTTCCGCAGCAGCTCCTTCTGCATGGGCACCAGGCTCCTGAGGAGCTGCTCGTTCTGGATCTCGCAGGGCGGGAGGACAATGCTGCAATCCAGAAACTCCTCCACACCCTTTATCAGGTCCTGGCGCTCCTCCGCCAGGTAGGCGTCCCTACGGAACCCCTGCCAGGGGAGAGGGAGGCTCAGGAGGGCAGCGAGACTCCCTGCACGGGCACTGCCATGGCTTACCCCTGGGACCCCTGGGACCGCTCCATCACAGTGGGGCACTAGTGAGCTAAGGCCCGTCTAAACCATCCGGCCAGCTGGGCTCCCTGTTGCCCTATATCCTGTTCCAGCAGCTCAGGGCAGGTCTACACTGAAAACGCTGGGCTGGTGCAGCTAACACTTCAGGGAAAACTCTGCTACACCAACGGGAGAGCTTTTCCAGTCGGTTAACCCGCCCCTGCGAGGGGCAGCAGCTGAGTCCGCAGGAGGAGCCCGCCCATGACAGAGCACTGTCTACACCAGGGGACAGGCTGGAGAAGAGGCCCAGAGAGGGGGGAAAGGTTTTTGGTTGTGTTTAAAGACATTTCTGAGGCTTTTCATTTTGCTGGCTGGGCCCCCCCCGGAAGGGCAAGTCTGAAGCTAGTGACCCAGCCGGAGGGCTGAGTTACGGACAGAGAGATGACCACAATGCCAGCGTGCCCATCGTCCGGGGGCGCTAGCCCAGTGAGAGAGCTGCTACCCCACGGCCGGCCACGAGGGAGTGCCTCGCGGTGAGCAAACTGGGTCACGGCACCCAGCACCGCCCGGTGGCGCTGTCCCAGAGTCTATTGGAGTAGATGGAAAGACCCCCGTTGACTTCCATGAGCTTGGGATCAGGCCCTTAGAACGTGGGCTCCTCACTCCAACCCCGAAAGGGCAGGAGGCAAAGTCTTTTCCCTCCAGCTCTGCAATGCCTCCCCCTGGCTACGATGGAGGTATTATCCTTAGCGGGAAGGCCAGAGGCCTTTAACGTGTGTGTTTGAGACAGGGCCAGAGGTGGCTGTCAGGGAGTGGGATGTAGGGCCCTGATATCCTATTCTGTATGTAGGCGGGGAAGGAGCCGCTGCCTGGGGGTGTCATGGGCACAGATCCCCAGTCTTCGGGAGGCCGCCGTACCCTTTCTGCCATCATGGTGGAGACGGCCCGTCCGATCTCATGGTAACTGATGTGCGGGGAGTCGGGTCCCAGCACCATGAAGAGGAACCTCACGGGGACGGACACCTGCAGGACCAAGTCCAGCTCCACCGCTTCCCTCAGGCGCACGAAGGCCAAGGTGGGGTGATCCAGGAAGGCGGCACGGCCTAGAGAGAGGACGGGATGGCAGGGAGGTCACTGGCGGGGCTCGGCACAGAGGGCAGGCGGAGGGGGACGGGTTCCAAGCACCGGCAAAGGGCTGGAGGGTGGGGGCAGGGAAAGGGAACAAAACGGAGAGGATGAAAGAGAGCAGGAGGGGAAAGAGAGGGAGAGAGAGATGGAGCAAAGTGAGCGAGGTTACATCAAGCCAGACACGCAAGCAAAACAGTGTTTCAGCTGGGCACAGAGAAAGCTGCCCAAGTGCACGAGACAACAAAAGCCAGAACGTGGGGCCTCCCCTCCCGCCCAGGCCAGCCTCTGCTGTGCGCCGAGTGGCATCTCCCCTCCAACAACTGGTCTTGCTCAGCTGGATCCTGGTGCCCAGCTCCAAGCAAAGCTGGTTCCAGAGCAGCCACCTGGATCTGGCCTCCTGCCCAGCCCCTTCCCCGTGGTGGAGGCATGTGGCATGGCTCAGGAGCCCCAGGGGACGCAGGAGAGGGTCACGCTCACCTACGAGGACCAGCGTGGCCTCGGCATCCTCCGGGATCTTCTCGAGGAGCTGCTTCCTGGGGGCGTGCCCCCGGGGCCCTTCCTGCAGAGATGCAAATTCAGAGATTCTCATCGTGCGGGGGGCCACCCTCCCCTCCTCCCCCCCCGCCAGGGCACAGGTGTGTCATCAGCCGCGTTTCTCTCCATTGCGCTGCTAAGCCCACCTGTGGCCATGCCCACGGCTCACATCCCCAGCTGGACCAGCCCCAGCGCTGAGAGCAACCCCCCTTGAGATGCCCTCACTCCAGAAGCTGCAGCCTCTGTGTGCACATGCTGGGCTCCTACTGTGCTTGGATTTCAGCCTCAGGTTCTTGGTGTCCCTTGCTGCTCATTCACTCAACAGACCCAGGTCCCGCCTGGTGGGACTCCACCGGCTGCCACCTGGCATGATGCAGGAGGCCCCGCAGATGCGAGCTCTTGGTGGGTCCCTCTGCCACCTGCTGCTCCCCACCCCCCCATAAATGGCTGTCCTGAGGTTCTCAAGCTGGGGGCCTGTTCCCACCATCTCCTTGCCTGTTCTGTGCTCGTGAGCGTCTGCATCTCGATCTGGTGATATTCCTGCATGAGCGGCTGGGAGGTGACCTCGTCCTTGGTGCCCTCTCGTTCCAGTTGGCCTGGGAAAAGGGTCCCCATGGATTCAGACTCATCTGGGTGGCTGCAGAAAGGGGGAGGAAAAAACCCAGACCATATCACTCTGCGGGAGACACTGCCCAAGCAGATGGACGGGTTTGTTCTACCCGCCCCCCCACACCCCACATCCCATTGACCAAATAATTGTTAATTATCCCTAATTAATAAATTAATATTGATTGAGCATTTCATTGCAAAGGAACCTCCAGTATTACAAACACCTCTTGGGATTTGGCCGCAGGAATCACTTCACCAGCTACTGCAATGCGGCCACCTCTGGGATGGGACATGGTGGCTGATTAACTGCACCCAGTAATGCTGCGCGGTTTAGCAAAGGAAGCAGAAGACTGTTGTATCGGGGGGGGGGGGTGAGCAGGCAAAGCTCTCCCAATTCCTCTACTCCCTCCCTCCCCCCGCCACCTTCCCACAATCTTGCACATTGCATCGTCATTTGCACCTGCGTAAATGGGACTGGCACTTGTGCAAAGGGGCCTGCAGGATGAAACACTCCCAATCGGAATAGCCAGGATGCTGGGATTCCCCTAGTGCCCCTCCTCTCCTCGGACTCCCCCTTTCCCAGCTCCCCCAGAAAGAAGTCAAGGCCACAGCACATCCCCTCGCTGCCCTCCGGGCGGGTGGCAGAGGACCGGTACCTGTGCTGTAGCAGCAGGGTTCTCAGGATCGTCTCTCTGTCCTGTGGTTTGAGCTGCCCTTCATAGATCATTTGGTCGATCAGCTGATTGGTGATGCCTGCCAGGAACTTCTCAGGCAGGTCCAGAAGGACAGTGCCTGGGGGAGACGGGCGGAGGTCACTAGGGCTGAAGTCCTCCCTCCCTGCTCAAGCCATTAGTCATTGGCTCACCCAGGGCATGGGATCCCCCTTCTCTGTCCATCCACCCTGAACTCCTCCTTCCCTTCCCGCTTTGTTCCGCGTCTCACGTGCTCTCTGTTCCCTCTGGCTCCGATTCTGCCCTGGGAGCAAAGGAGGTGCGAGGCCGGGGTGCCTCCAGCAGCGCTTTGCCTGGGAGTAGGTGAGGGCAGAGGTGCCGGGAACGACAGCATCAAGCCCTCTGGGTCTTGGCTCTGTTCTCTTCTTTCACTCCATCGTCTGTCTTTCTTTTCCAGTTCCCACCCCTCTCCGACCTACCAAACCGTTGAATCTATTCTCCCTGTGCAACGTGTTCCACCCGCCTGCTTCAGGGCACAAGCCAATTACTGGCCAATGAGGGTCAGGAAGGAATTTCCCAGCTTATTCCAGATTCCGTGACTGGAGCCTTTGCACTTCCCTTGGAAGCAGTTGGCGCTAGCCCCTGGTGGAGGCAGGATATTGGGCTCAATGGCCAATTGGGTGCAGCATTTCCTATCAATAGGGCCAAACTGGCTGCTGGTGTAAGCATGTGCCTCTCCAGTGCAATAGGTGTCGCGCTCCTCACTTACGCCACTGACAAATATCATCTGGATGCTACCCATAATATTAAACTGAAGGGCCAAGATCTGGCTCACTCTTCCTAGGTCACCCCTGCTCCATTCACTCTCTTCTTCCCTTGTTCCTGGCTCTTTATTATCTTTCTCTGACTGGCTCACTGTCCATTTCTCCCCTTCCCCCCTGACCCTCTGTAGCATTGTTTCTGATCACCGCTGCCCCCTCCTCACCTTTCGTGAAGGCCCTGCGCACCTCCAGCAGGCTGCGGAATGTCAGGTATGAGAGGTGCGGCCTCCCCCAGTGCCCTGCCTCCTCAAAGTCCTCCTCCAGCTTGATCCAGTGGCCGGCCTCCATCCAGCGCAGCTCGTTGTTTCTATCCATGACCAGTTCTTGTAACTCCACATATGCCTGGGAAGGGAAGAGCGGATGGGACAGAGCCCTTGGAGAGCAGGCTGGGATTCTCTCCTGGGGTGGGCAGCCAAAGAGGTGGCCACAGCATCCCCAATAATCCAGTGGCGATGCATGTGAGTGTGGTGATTGATGCCTGCCTGAGTATGCAGAGAGCCTGAAACAATAGCTCTGAGAGGGAGGATTGCAAACTTCCTCCAGGCTCCGCCCACAACCCAATCTCCACCCACTAAAGCTGCCAAAATGAGAGGTCAGATTTGGGGTCCCACACATGGGCTGCCACTCCACCCCTGCCCCGCTCCGCAACAGGAGCAGAGCAAAGGGGATTGTTCCAAAGGAGAGTCAGATGCCCGATTCCCATGGGTGGCCAAGGGGAGTTGGGTGCCTTCAGGCAGGTGCATCAAGGGGATGCAATGATCCAACTCCCTTCCCCCTGCCCTAGGAACTCGAGGCCCCATGAACCTCTAAGCTGCAGCGAGGTCTAGCTGTAGGGGTGTGGGGCAGGGAGGTTAGCACCGCATGGAAATGGACCAGACAGTAAAACGTCCTCTAAACGAGGGGACAAGTTTCCAAAGACCCTAATCCTGCCCCCACCCCCCGCAGTGCTGGGAAGTGCCCAGGGCTACACATCCACCCCAATCTGAGCCCACCTAGACCTTGGGAGGTGATCAACTTCCCTAAACTCCAGGGCACCCCTCGCCTCGGAGTCCACAGCAAATTAGCCCCAGGAACCCGATGCCTTCTGGGCTCATCGCATTATTCCAGTGTATGGATTCACTTGCCACGGGAGGCTGCGGGACGTGTCAGCCTGGACTTACCTATGCCCCCTTTGCTCCCAGTATCAAGCCAGAAAGGTGGAAGGCACAGAGCCCTCCTTAGAATTCAATCCCTGGCTGATTTGAGCCCTCAGAAGATCAAAACTTGGAGAGAGCAACTCACCAGGTATTAAAAATAACCCAGGGTCCAGCTTTCCCTCAGCTGGGTTTAGGCAAGTGACAGTGGGTGATTTAATTGATGGCTCCGGAGGGCGGGAACTAGCAATGCAATAAGGCTGGGGTGGAAATTCTGAATGAGATGGACCCATGAAGAGCCCATGGGGAGACAAGACAAGTCTGGCTAATGATTATGTTACGTAGGCTTTGGTGGCTTTGACAGATCCGGCGGGATAGCCAGGGTGGATCTGTCTAGGAGCCAGTGGCCAGTGTTAGTGGCTTCAGGCAAAGGTGCAAGAAACTCCCTAGTTGACTGTCATGGGATAACCTGCCCAGGGTTCTTCCCAATCCCCAGGTGGTTCGGGCCAGATTTTCAAATCATCTGAGCACAGGTGCATGCTGGGTGGTGAGAACTTTGTAAACTTTGGCTCTTATTTAGGTGCCTATACGGGAATGGAGCTCTTAGGGAAGTCCGGCCCTGAGCTCTGTGGAAAATCTGGCCTTAGCGGCTGGCTCTGGCCTGAAGCAGGAGTGTTAGCACCCTCTGTCCATGTGTAACATAAGGGTGCGTGCTCATGTTATCCACAGAAACGGCTGATCCCTGTGGAACTGCTGGGGAGTTCTTGGCCTCAGTGACATCTGGTGGCAGTGAGTTCCACAGGAGAGTTAGGCTTTGGGTAAACAAGTATGGCCTTGTATCAATTTAAAATGTGTTGCCTTCCAGCTTCGTTGGAAGGCAGAGATGGAGCTAGGTGGGGAAACACCGCCCTGGACACATGGTGGGGAGAAAGATCTGCTGCTTATTTCGGCAAGAGCAACAGGAACAGACATGACTGAAGCAGGAGGAAGGCTCAGCAGCAGTGGTATCATCTCTCCTTTCTGCCCCATCTTCCCCTTCTCCCCAGGCCTGATGCAAATTCTCTGGACCTGATCCTCAGCTTGGCTAAATGAGCGGCGCCCTTTTGACTTCAGAGGAGCGGCGCCAGCAGAGAATCAGGCTGTGAACTCCTGCAGCCACTCGGAGGCGCTCCGACCCCTCTGCTGTCGGGTGGGACCCAGAGTACGTGGCCCCCCACCGGACGCCTCGGAAAGCAAGAGGCGAGTCGCCGCAGAGTGGTATTACCGGTCTATTCCCAGCATGCTCCCTGCCTCGCAGCAGCCGGCTGGCGTCACCGAATCTTCGTTGTTCTACGTCTTACTCTCCCTAAGGCCCTTCCTGTTTCTTTCCCCTTTTTTCCCCCCTTGGGGAGGGGGTTAGATGTGATTTCAAGCTGGGCTCTGCTGAATATAAAGGGGATTTTTTTATGCAGCTGCTGGACGGCCTGGCCTGGCCTGGCCTGGTGTCCGCACTTCTGGAAGGGGTGGCTGAGTGTACTAAACCCCCGTGATGAGCCTCCCAAGTCTGATCAGAACCTCTTGGTTCGGCAGAACAGGCACAGAAATGGAAGGAGAAAAAGGGGAGAGAAAGGGGTGAAATCTCCCCATCGCCAACCCGGTTCACCTGCCCTCCCCTGCCCCCCAAGTGCTGGAAGAGCTCTACCCTGCTGGCCATCGCATAAGCAAAGCGGTGCCCGTTCCAGGCAGGGCATGAGCCCCCATCGCCGGCACCCACCGAGCAAAACCAGCATGGGCAGTCAGTCAAACTGGGGGAACTGGGTGCTGCCTCTCCCCTCCCCAGACCGGCTGCCTCCAGCTTCGCGCACACAGGGGCAGTTCAGACCAGTCTGAAATTGCCTCAGTAACTGGAAATGAACTGTCCCAGCTGCCCAGGAAAAAAGGGCTTTGAACTGTCATTAAGCGGCTGAGTGATGGCTGGGAAAGCAGCTGTCCCCGAACTGCACCCCGTGTGTTTATAAAGCAAACAAGACTTACTGCCTTGGACGCCTTCCTGCTCCGCCTGCTCCCCGGGGAGGGTCTCCCTCCTGCTGGGACAATTCCCTGAGGAGGGTCTCTCCCCTGCTCCCCAGGGAGGGTCTCCCTCCTGCTGGGACAATTCCCTGAGGAGGGTCTCTCCCCTGCTCCCTGGGGAGGGTCTCCTCCCGGCTCCGCCTGTTCCCTTGGGAGAGTCTCCCTCCTGCTCCGCCTGTTCCCCCAGGGAGGGTCTCCCTCCTGCTCTGACTGTTCCTGGGGAGGGTCTCCCCGTGCTCCTCCTGTTCCCCGGGGAGGGTCTCCTCCCTGCTCCACCTGTTCCCTTGGGAGAGTCTCCCTCCTGCTCCGCCTGTTCCCCCAGGGAGGGTCTCCCTCCTGCTCTGACGGTTCCTCTGGGGAGGGTCTCCCTCCTGCTCTGATGGTTCTCTGGGAAGGTCTCTCTCTCTCTTCCCACACCAATCTAACCCTCTCCTCTCCCTCCTTCTCCCTGGCTCCCGGAGCATCCTTCCCATTGGGTTCAGATCAGAGCAGGGTCTAACCTCTCCCCATGGGGCCAGACTGGGCCATGGCCTTGCACCCCGAAGGAGCAGCGCTGCACAGGGTCCCAGCATGGCAGGCCACTCACCTCATGTGTACCCCGGCTGGAGGTGGATGGGTGGGCGAACCCCGCGCTCCCTGATGCCTCCTGGGTCTGATCCAATGAGGAGGAACCTGAGTATGGAACAACCTCACTGTTAGCCAGGCCCCGGAGCCACTCACCCAGCCAGCCCCTTGACCCCCGTGGGGGGGCTAGTCCGGCACTGGAGCCATGGGGAGGGCTCCATCCCAGCCACAGCCACCTTCCCACAGCTCCTGCTCCCAGCCCCAGAGACACAGCCCAGATGCTGGGGAGGGGTGGAGATAGCACCCTCCCAGTGTGGGGCAGGGCGGGCTTGGGGGGGAAGGGCAGAGACAACCCACCAGAGGGACTCTATTCAACATACAGATAGAGCCCAGGGGCTGCCCAGACCCAGGTCCCAGCCATACATACAGGGCACGTGCCTGCTCCTGGCTTTGCAGACGGGCCCCCCATTCCATGAGGAGGGGTGTTTAGACACCTGGGCTTTCTGGGGCTCTTCTAGCAGAGGGTCAGGCGGGAGGTGGTGTCACCCCACGTTGGTCCCCCCGCCCCACCACAGGGGGCCTGTTCTCCTGTCTCTGGTGCCTCCGGTTTCCCACTCCTGCCGGGCAGACAGAACCAGAGCAGGTGTGAACGCCGCCCTGTGCTCTCCCGGTCCCGGCAGCGACTGGGCACTGGGGAGCGGGCTGAGGGGAGAGGGCTTTGGTGCGGAGGCACGTCCGAGGAGCGCCCAGGACACGCGCTCCCCCAGCCCACGCCTGCACCCCGAGGGGGATGCCCCTAGCTTGCGGCTGGGGAGATCCAACATCGCAGCAAGCTGAGGAGAGGGAAGGTTGGAGGTGCCCCAGCAGGACCACAGCGTGTTCTCCAGCGCCCCGGTGAGCTCCAAGCCAGGGGACTCTCCCTCCGTTCTTTTTGGGGGAGACAATGCCAGAGCCTCACAGATCTCCCCAAACTACATCTCCCCTGGCTTGGTTCCCTCTCTTAGACCAGACCCCATGGGCACCCTGGGTGCTCCTTCCACACCTTCTCCCCGTCCCTGAGATGTGCCGGGCCAGTTCCCGCGTCCCCCTGAGTCGCCGCCCCAGGTGTGTACGGGTGAGAGGAGGCCTGGCAGCGAGTCCGGTAGATCCCACCTACCTGAGATCTCAGCGCCCCCCCGGCCACCATCCAGGCGGAGAGAAGGGACAGGTTCCCAGCGCTTCCGTTCTATAAACCTCTGGCCCCAGGGACTCCCTCTGGCCCCACCCCCGAATTCCTGTCCCAAGTGACTCTTGTGTTCAGAGTAAATTGAAAAGCACTCGGGCTGTGCTGACAGTAAACACGGGGCCCCGTGGCGCCCTCCTGGGGCAGGGGACCGGCCCCCAGGCCTGGAGCAGTTTAACCCTCAATGGGAGCTCTTCGTGCCCGAGGGACCTGTGGGGCCGGGACCGAGGTCGACGTACATCTCCCGTTTACCCTCCCTGGTCCTGCTCTGGCCGGCTTTGGAGCCCTTCCCCCAGCAGACAATAGGGGGCTCTGTGGAATGACACCCGGGCTATCCTGGTCACGCCTCAGCCAAGCTGCCGTCGCCCCCCGCCCCGTGGGAAGCCCTGAGTTCGAGTCTCGGCCCGGATCCCGGCGAGGCAGGGCCACACGCACTAGGTCAGCCCCGCAGGAGAGCTGCTGAGGCCTGCTAGATGGCTGTACACCCTGCCCTCACTCCCCCCCCCCGCTCCCATTTATATCCCTGCCCCCAAGTTGGTAGAGGTTCTCGCACGGCAGGGTGACTGTACAGGCTAGGAACCGAGAGGGAAGCTGCTGACAGCTGCAAGTCCACCCTGCTCCCCTCCTGCGGCGAGTCCAGAGCAGGGGGTGCGACATGAACCCCCAGGACAAACCCTCCGTGCGAGGAGCCCTCTCTCCCCCGTGCGAGGGGATTCACGGCACTTGCCCAGTGGGGCTGGCTGGGATTCCACTGGCACTGCTGGCTGCCCGTCGGGATGCCACGAGCCACAGCCAGTGGCTGGCACATCACAGACTCCAGCCTGGGGCTGCCCACTGTACCAGCTGTGTGGGTGGAAGGAAGGGGTTAGGGAGACAGAGCCCTGACCAGCCACCCCCACCCTCTCTTCAGGACCCCCTTGGGCAATAATGCAATTGCTCGGCAGGGCTAGCAGGCTCCCTATAAATACACTGCAGTCACACACGGCTCACACCAACACACACCTCACACAGCTCACACCCACACACACAGGTCACATCCACACAGAGACACACGGCTCACACACGCACACAGCTCACATCCACACAGAGAGAGACACACAGCTCACACCCACACACAGCTCACACAGACACACAGCTCACACCCGCACACAACTCACACACACCTCACACAGCTCACATCCACACAGAGACACACAGCTCACACACACAGCTCACACCCTCACACAGCTCACACCCACACAGCTCACAGCCACACCCAACTCATACCCACACAGAGACACACAGTTCACAACCAGACACACACCTCACACCCACACAGAGACATGCAGTTCACACGCACGCACACGTCACACAGAGAGACAAACACAGCTCACACCCACACACAGTTCACACCCACACAGGGACACACAGTTCACAACCACACACACCTCCCACACAGGGACACACATGCCAAGACACACAGCTCACACACAGCTTACATCCCCACACCTTACACACAGCTCACACCCACACACGCCTCACTGAGACCGAGAGACTGGGATGGGCATCCACACGGGCACACGCACAATCACACAACTCCAACAGAGACACACAGCTGGCAGCCGCACAAATATTCTCAACGCAGAGACATGCACCCACACAGCTCCCACGGACGCGTACAGGCATTCTCACATCCTTCCTACAAAGGGAGACACGTAGTTCGCCACCCGAAACACACGGCTCCTAACACACAGAGGACACACAGATACACTCCTAAAGAGGTGCACACTTGCATAATCTAACACACCGATCAACCTGGAAGCTGCCTCTCGCTGGCTGGTGACAGTAACAGGTCAGCCACAAGTGGCTTCTGTCTTTAGTCAAAACAAACCCTTTATTTATCATCAATAACCAGGCAATTAGAGGGAAACTGGCAGCAATACCTCCGTGGGTCATTGCCTGGCAGGGACAAACTCACACCAGGCGGTTCCAGGAGCCACCGAAAGGTCCCTCGGGACGTTTTCATGCTTTGCGAGATCAGCTCAGGGGCTGGGAGGGGAGATCGAGCTGTTGCACTTGGAAAACTGGGTGCTAAAGGAGACACAAACTCCTGCAGGCCAGGGTGCAGAGTGGGGATGGGCGAGGAGGTCACGAAGGTACCGAGTGGCGATGGATGGGGATGGTGTTAGAACAGTGCCACCCTGGTGCAAAACGGCGAGGGATGGGGCTGGCACTAGGATGCCAGCAGCCGGGTGCAGAGTGGCAATGGAAGGGGACGGTGCCAGGGTGGGCATTCTGTTAGTACTGGGCATGGCCCTTTCAAGACCTAACAAATGCAGAATAAGCGACTGCATTAGCTAATCTCCCTCTTTCCTGCCATACGGGTTCCGCACCATTTTCAGGCCCATGAGCCTCTGCCGCTCTGGGAAGATACCAGCCCGTGTGAGCTTTATTTAATCCAGAGCGCAGAGTTCGGCTCCAGATTCGAACTTCCGCAGAGCAAGCGGGAGGTTTTCGCTCCATTAGAGTTGGTGATAGCGGGTCTGTCGCAAAGTCTGGATGTGGCTCAAGATCAGTGGCTTCCCCACAGGTCTGGGTCGATCAAATCCAGGCCATCTCTAGTCTTAATCAGTGCCTGGATCTGCCGGCAAACCCTCTCCTAGATGGCATGATCCTCTGCTAGGACTGCCGTCATGTCTCTGACATCACCCTGCCTTGCCCAGGGGCACCGTCTCCATTCTCCTTCCCTACTCAGGGCATAGACCGCTGCTGACCCAGCCAGGAGCGGCTGAAAAACACACCCTGGCGTCCCCGGGACACACTGGTTGGTGCCCACCATGCCTGTGCCCCACACACCTGTCCCATACACAATTCTACACCCATTCAGGCATCTTGCTCACACACCCACACACGCAAGGGAGCTTTCGAGGCCGTCTTGGTGCACCCCCAGCTGCTGTGGAGGGAGTCGGAGGAGACGCCTCCCATCAGTGCAGGATCTGAAAATGTTCCAGGCCCAGCCCGGACTTTACCAACGGCTTTGATATCTGGCTCCCTTTTGTTTCACGGTCTGGGATTCAGACAGTGGCCCTGCTTGTGTGACCCACTGGTGAGGTTGGGTTGCAGGTCCCGCTCCGTCTCGTCCTCACAGGGCGTGAGTTGGTTACAGCTGTAGCAGCTCATGCTTTTAGCTTTGGAGAGCCCTGGTGTGTCTGCACTGATGGCAGATATCCTACTTATAAACGGTCAGGCCCTGTCCCTGTTCTCTGGATCCCTTTGCCCATGGCTGAGTGACTGCTTCCGGATGGGCAACTTTATCATCAGGGACAGTGGCAAGCACCTGCGAACGTGGTCTAGTGATCTGAGCTCGGAGCTGCAACCAAAAGCTTCTCTCTGGTCTAAGCTTGTCTCTGCCACTGACTTGCTTGGTGCCCTTGGGCAAATCACTTCACCTCTCTGCCGCAGCCTGCAGAATGACAACCGGCCTCTGTCAGAAGACCTTTGAGGGTTAATTATACCTGACCCTGGGCAGTTCACTTCCTCTTGCTGTGCCTGTGTCCCTTCCCACCCTTTCTCTTGTTGATAGACAATAAATGCTGACTCTTACTCCACGTATGTACAGTGCCTAGCACAATGGGGCCCAGAGCTGCTGCAGCGAGCCCCCAACAGATGGCACTGTGGAGACTTAACCGGTGGGGCTGGTTCAGCCACAAAGCCCTGTCTAGGCAAAGCTTGCTGGGCCCTGCCTTTGAGTGTATGTGGGGAGGAGGAGTGCTTGGCGGTGAAGATGCAAAACCTAGTGGCAGCTAGGCTTCCTCCGTGACACCCCCAGCGTTGTCTGGCACCCAGGAGAGAGCCGGAGAGAGTAGCGGGAGAGGTGTCAATCATTCAGGCTCTGAACTGCCCACGTTATCACAGGGCCAGCAGAGCTCAGACTGCAGCCCCGGCCCACTAGATCGCCTTCCTTCTTGTGGCTAGCTGAATTACTGTCCTCCCAAGACGGGAGCGCCCTCTGAAGCTCGTAAATCCTGTCCGAGTGAGTAAACGAGGCCTGCACCCAGCACATCATAACAGATATTTATCGGCCAAAGGGGCTGCTGAGAGATGATTCGAGCTGGCTGACCTGAAGAAGGCTCAGGGCATTAATCCTTTGGAAATGGCCTGGACGGAGCAATGGAATTGTATCATCTGTTCAAAAGGACTGCATGCACCCACGGTTTCTTTCATTGCAGCCTCATTACAACCCTAAGAAGCGTTGTGCTGGGGATTTAATCATTCTCAAATTAGAATTAGAATTGGAAAAAGGGCAGAGAGTAAAAAACGTGGGACTGTTCAGATCAGAAAAGAGAGGACTAAGGGGGGGGCATAGGCACCAGCTCCGGGGGTGCTCCAAAAAAAAAAAAGTGGGTGCTCAGCACCCAGCAGCTGCCCGCCGATCCGCTGTTTGGTGGCGGGTGGGAGAGGCTGGGGTGGGGGCAGGAAGAGGTGAGGCAGAGGCGGGGCAGGGGCAGGAAGAGGTGGAGCAAAGGTGGGGCCTTGGGGGAAGGGTTAAAGTGGGGGCGGGGCAGAAGAGGGTGGAGCACCCAGCCGGAGAGAAGAAAGTCGGTGCCTGTGAAGGGAGGGGGATGTGATAGAGGACTATAAAATTGTGACTGGTGTGGAAATAGTGAATAGGGAAGTGTTATTTACCCCTTCACCTACCACAAGAACAAGGGGTCACCTGATGACATTCACAGGCAGCAGGATTAAAACAAACATTAAGCAAGTACTTCACACAACGCACAGTCAACCTGTGGAACTCCTCGCCAGGGGATGTTGTGAAAGCCAAAAGTATAACGGGTTTCAAAAATGAACTAGATAAACTCACAGTGGCTAGGCCCATCAATGGCTCTTAGCCAAGACAGTCAGGGACCCAACCCATGCTCCAAGTGTCCCTAAGCCTCCAACTGTCAGAAGCTGGGGCTGGACGACAGGGGATGGATCACTCAAAATTGCCCTGTTCTGTTCATTCCTTCTGAAGCATCTGGCACTGGCCAGTCAGATCCAGGATACTGGGCTAGTGGGCCATTAGTATGGCCACTTGTCTGTAACACTGTGCCCTTCTCCTTTCATTGAAGGACCACAATCTGCTTTACAGATGTTAATTAATTATAAACCTTCTGACATTCCTAGGCATCTTTCCCCCTGCCACAAGAGTGCAACCGCCTCTGGGGTGGAACACAGCCACTGATGAGCTCTGCACAACGGTTGAGGACCAGAAGTGATGACGAACCCCGTACCCAACAGCAAGCAGCTGCAGGAAATGTTGGTGAGTCAATGTAATCACCCAGGCTAGCATTTAGTGCGGGCATCAGTGCAGAATATGCCTTAAGGAAGGTGCCAGGGAACCACAAAGGGGCAGGAGTCCAGTTTTACGTCTCATATAAAAGATGGCCCCTCCAGCAGCACTATACACGCTGACCTCACGCTCGGGTGTTGGCTCCAGCCCTGCCCACTGACTCATCAAGCCACTTCCTGCAGATCTCCCATCCAAGGACTAAGCCAGCCTGGCTCGACTTATCCTGGGAGACCGGACTCGATGACAGCAAAGGGAGGAATAGCAACACAGCTAAGAGGCAGAGCAAGCAGCTGGAGTTGCTGGCAGCATCACTTCTGCCCAGAGGGTACATCCCAGGACCTGCCTAGCACAGAGCTTGTTGCTGCTCCAGGAGCAATTCAGCTACCAAGTTCATAGGCTGAAAGGAAGGAGCCTGGCAGCTCTGCAGAGTAAAAGCCACTGACCCTGGGAAGAGCGTCAGAGCTGCAAACAGAATATGGGAATTACAGCTTTCCCATGTCATGCAACTAGTCCAAATATATAACTTTCTCTAGGGATGCGTAGGACCCGCCTCAACCCAGGATCTGAGCATCCCTGATGGATTCCACCTTCCCAGTTCTCCTGTGAAATTGGGGAATATTATCCCCACTTTTCAGCTGGGGAACAGTGTAGGTTAAGTTGCTTGCCAAGGGTGCACAGGAAGTTTGTGACGGGCCTGGAAAGTCTCCTGAGCCCTAATCTAGGCTCTGTCCACTAGAGTAGGCTATCCTGCCTTCCTCTCCCTCTCTGTTTGTACACACACACCCAGATGTAGTAACCATCTCCTGATCGACTGCATTGATCACGCCCCTGTGATCGCTTCCCCTGCACTCTGCCCACCCATTCCGCTCTGCCTTGGCTATTTCTAACCCCCCTCTCTTTACACCCATCTATATGGTTCCTAGATATTCGTACAAGGGAGTTATTATCCACAGGACTTTAATAAATCTATCGCACAGCTAGAGCTGGCCAAATTCTTCTTTGTGGATTTGTGCAACATTCCTTGTGAATGCAACACTTTTTTCTGCAATATATCTATATCAGGGACTATGTCAGACAGGGGGAGCAGCAAACTGCAATGGGGGGACCACTTGAGACTGCAGGGGTAGCAAACCGCAAGGCAGGGAGGCTGGTTGAAGGGCAGGCAAAGGGAGGAGAGAGAGGACCACCAGCCCTGCATAGCCAGGCACCCCAGGTCCAGCAGTGGCCATGAGGACATCAGAACCCTTCATAGTGCACCGAGCTAATGGGGTGACATGGGAGGGCTGGGAATTCCTTCCTGATCTCACCCCCAGGCAGGCAGGGGGTGCCCTGAAGCATGTGCTCTGACAACCCTACCTTACATCACGACCTCAAGCTGCATTGCTACAAACAGGTGTCAATGGTGAAGAGAATGTCCCATTGCAAGGGAACCCTAACCCCCCTGTTAACCCTTAATGAACTACGAGCGTTCGGGTTACTCACTGCCTTGTTCATCGAGTGACATCTCTGATTGTTTCAGTTTGGGGTCCCTGAAGCCCTCTTCATCCAGCCTGCTCCTCATTTCAGCTTCATAATCCTCCTAAGGTGGGGAAGGAGAACACCCTTCATGATCATTAACCCTGCCTGTGTTGGGCAGCACAGCCTGGGCAGCTGTATCCCAGGGCACCAGCTCTGAGACACAGTGTGGGGCCCAGTGCCATCTCTACTCTGGGATACAGAGGGATGCTCTGATGTGATTCCCCATAGGGACTGTAGCCCAGTGTGAAGCAGGATGTCCATGCAGGCATTCCCCGTGGGGGATGGTAGCGCAGTGTGAAGCAGGGTCTCTGTGCAGGGATTCCCCGTGGGGGATGGTAACCCAGTGTGAAGCAGGGTGTCCGTGCAGGGATTCCCTGTGGGGGATGGTAACCCAGTGTGAAGCAGGGTGTCCGTGCAGGGATTCCCCGTGGGGGATGGTAACCCAGTGTGAAGCAGGGTGTCCGTGCAGGGATTCCCCGTGGGGGATGGTAACCCAGTGTGAAGCAGGGGGTCCGTGCAGGGATTCCCCGTGGGGGATGGTAGCCCAGTGTGAAGCAGGGTGTCCGTGAAGGGATTCCCAGTGGGGAATGGTAACCCAGTGTGAAGCAGGGTGTCCGTGCAGGGATTCCCTGTGGGGGATGGTAGCCCAGTGTGAAGCAGGGTGTCCGTGCAGGGATTCCCTGTGGGGGATGGTAGCCCAGTGTAAAGCAGGGTGTCCGTGCAGGGATTCCCCGTGGGGGATGGTAGCCCAGTGTAAAGCAGGGTGTCCGTGCAGGGATTCCCCGTGGGGGATGGTAGCCCAGTGTGAAGCAGGGTGTCCGCACAGGGATTCCCCGTGGGGGATGGTAACCCAGTGTGAAGCCAGGTGTCTGTGAAGGGATTCCCCGTGGGGAATGGTAACCCAGTGTAAAGCAGGGTGTCCGCACAGGGATTCCCAGTGGGGAATGGTAACCCAGTGTAAAGCAGGGTGTCTGTGCAGGGATTCCCCATGGGGGATGGTAGCCCAGTGTGAAGCAGGGTGTCTGTGCAGGGATTCCCTGTGGGGGATGGTAACCCAGTGTGAAGCAGGGTGTCCGCACAGGGATTCCCCGTGGGGGATGGTAACCCAGTGTGAAGCCAGGTGTCCGTGAAGGGATTCCCTGTGGGGGATGGTAGCGAAGCTCTGCAGGGATTGCCCTGAGGAAAGCAGGGAGCAGCGGGGGCCGGATGGACTGAGTGGGGCAGTGATCTAGTCTGGCTCTGAGTTTCCACTACCTGGCCTGGATCCTCCATGGGTTTTTTGCTCATTGCTCCTCTCCCCGCGTCTCTTGCTCTGTCCCAGCAATCAGCCCGGAGGCAGCATCACCCGATGGGCCCAAATCGCTGAAAAGGCAAAGGGAAGAAATGTATGTCAGGAAAGGCAGGGATAGCGTGAGGTAGGCCTGGCGTGGTAGCTCATGCCGGGATCCCCACGCCCCCCCTGCAGAATACTGGATTGCAGGCATCATTTATGGCAGCCCCTGCTCCTCCTTAGACCTGGCTTACCCCAGGAGCTCCTGGCCCTCTCTGCAGCATCCCAGAGCATAGGCACAGAAGTGGATCCATGCCTATTCTGCATGTGCACGGCTGGCTTTGGGAGGAGGGATCAGGCACTGAGCTGGGACTCAGGAGAGTGGGGGTCAGTTCCCAGCGCTACCATGGCTTCCAGTGTGACACCGGGCCAAACTCCAAGGGCCAGGTTTTCCAAAAGTGCTGTGTCCCCCGACCCAGTGGAAATCCGGCCGTTCATCTCCCTGGGCCTCCATTCCCCATCTGTACAGTGATAACCCATTATCTGCTTGGCCTCGTTAGACCGTCAAGCCCAGATCTTCAAAGCTATTGAGGTGCCTAATTCCCAGTGATATCTATGGGAGTTAGGCACCTCAATACTTTTGAGGATCTGAGCCTAAGCTCTGTCTCTCAGTCGGCCTGTGCAGCGCCTGGCACGTCGGGCCCTGGTCTCAGCTGGAGCCTCAAGGGACTCATGTAATAAAGCTCTGAATCCTTTGTCAGGGCTGGCGGTGAGTGCCGTAGGAAACGTATCAATCCCTGGTGCCAGCTGTCCATCCCTGCTGACTGCCACCCACGTGCAGATGGTGTTTGCGTTTCCATCTGAGCTTTCTGGGCTTCTGGAAACTGTTTATTTTGAGGTTTGCGATGAGCACATTTGGGGGTGTCATGTCCCTATGCCCCCCTCCCCCTTAGCACAGAGCCACACGCAGGAGTCATTCACTCCTGCGACACAGCCCCGCTCCCAAATGCCGGGAGTTTGCTACGCGGACGTTTAAGGTAGTAACAGGGGAAATGAGGTGTAGAGGGTTGCTCAGGGTCACTCAGCGAGTCCCCAGTAGAGGTGAGAGCGGCGTACCAACCCACAGCTCCCCAGCGTGTAACCCACCTTCATTGAGTGCACCCAGGCAACAGGTTTAGGCCGTGTCTGCATTGACCTCCGAACCAGGGTCAAACGAGGGCTTGGTTAGATGCAGAGTGGCTCTGGTTTAACTTAAGATGGGGTGGGAAACCAAGTTCGAAACCCAAAGGCTGTGTGGACACTCCAGCTTTGGTTTAAACCAGGCTTATTTGATTTTATTTAAGCTGATCAGGAACAGGTTCAAGCTAAACCAAAATAAGCCACACGTAAACCAATACGGGAATGTGCCAGTTTTTAAAAGTGTTTAAATTAAACTGGTGCAACTTCTGTGTGTTGAGGAAGCCTTCGAGACCCACCCAAACCAGCCTATGGAACCACAAACCCTGAACTGCAGGGGAGTCTGGATTCAAAGCCAACTCCTTCATTCCCCACAAGAACCCCCATAATAGAAGGGGGAGGAGAGCCACAGCATGGGGCCAGTTCAGACCCAGATTCAGTCGCAAATATCAGGACTCCAGCTCATTTTTCTAACAGATCATACTGGAACCCCAGATGCAGCCCACCCACAGGCCTCCCCCCCCAAAAAAACCAAGCAAACTGGGAGAGTGCATATCCCAAATCCTGATCTAACCTGGGGTCCTCAGCACATCATAATCCCAGCTAAACTGGTTTGCAGCAGGTTTTAGCCAGCCAGCAAGCACCAAGGCTAAAGCAAACAGTGAGGGTCTCTTTCTATGCACTACATAGGGTGTGTCTGTTTCCTTGCTGATCAATGCATTTTGTGAATTTAGGTTCGAACGCAGCTTTGACTCCGTGCAAACTGGCCGCCTGACCTGTCTTTGAAGCCAGTTTCTTGGGAGCCCCGTTTCAACACAGCCGCACCTGGTTTAGCAAACAAGCTGCAGCCAGGCACGCACTGTACAGACACCCTGCTCATCAGTGAGAATCAAACCTGGGACCATCCAGCACCAGGCGTACAGGACAGCCCTCTGACGCCTGAGCAAAAAGCAGATTTTCCAGAAGTGGCAGGCTAGTGCAGTAGCAGGGTCAGCCACTAGAAGGCGACACAATCACATGCTAACCCACTGTCTCACACTTGCCTGAAGGCAGAATCTTGCCTCGCCTTTTGACCTCGGACTTGGGGCATCCTTTGCCAGATGTACTTAGGCCATTTTCAGAGCTGGCTGGGCCCGGTCCTGCAGCCCTGTGAGCGGCCTCTGGGGCGCTAAGGGTCTGGACCCCAGCTAGCCTGGCGTTAGCCCATTAGGATCGTTAGTTGCTCCTGCCTGCCTCAGAGACGTCTCTGGGATGAATTTTCAGAGCCCCCTGCCCCTCCCCGGCACTGCAAGGGCCCATCGATTCCCTGTATGGCAGTGCCTGGCTCTGGGAAACCCCGAGCATATGGCCAATAGGAGGTTCTGGGTCAGATAACTGGGCTTCCCTGCCCTGGCCACGAATCATAGACTATCGGGGTTGGAAGAGACCTCAGGAGGTCATCTAGTCCAACCCTCTGCTCAAAGCTTGACCAATCCCCAGTTTTTGCCCCAGATCCTTAAATGGCCCCCCTCAAGGACTGAACTCACAACCCTGGGCTTAGCAGGCCAATGCTCAAACCACTGAGCTATCCCTCCCCCCAGGAAGGAGTTGCCCATGAGAGCAGGGGGTGGGGGGAGAGCTGGAGGGTCCCTGTCACAGGATACTGCAGAGAACTAGCAAGCTCGCTGCAGCCTCGTAGGGGATGGGGCACACGCAGAGAAAACGTAGGATGAATATCCCGGGGAATTCACTGAAGACGTGGCCAGCCTGGTAGGTGGGTGATGGGCTAGAGGGGGAATGGGGTAGCGAAGCATTCGGGGTCCAGCCCTGTATTGCCTGCCTGGTGGCATGACTGATACCGGGAGAACCATAAGCTCAGCAGCTCCGTGTGCGGCTGGGGATCTGTCATGTGTGTGCAGCCAGGACCTGGGTCACAGTGCGTGGCCATGAGACGTGAGCTCACACGGGGACACACGGTCTGCACCCGGAGAGCCCGTCAGCTCATGAGCGCTGCAGGGCCGGCAGGGCGAGGCAGCATCCCTCTTGGGGCGCGCTTTGTGGCTAAGCTTGGAAATCCCCAGGGGCTGCAGGGAGTCACACAGCCGACGGCACTTTGCCAGCACTGAGCCAACGCCCCATCTGGCCTTGCGTGATCGTTGACGATGTCACGACGCATTTTCTTTTCGCGAGAGCGGGCGGTTTTAGCCCACTGCCCCACTTCTGGCTGTGCCGCTCCAGACTCCCACAGAGCCTTCTGTCTTTGCCCAGAAGCTCTCGCGTGGCCTGGCTGTGCACAGTAGAACAGCTCCACGCCCCTCCCCAGAGCTGGCTGCATTTCAGCAGTGGGCAAAGCGAGCTCTGTTTGCAAAATGCTTTGGAGTAAAGGGCGTTCCCGGCACTTAGAGGAGGAGGGAGGAGGGGGCAGATATTGCATCAGCACCTGGCTGCTGTGTTCTGCACCATGCTGATAGTCCATGGGCTGAGCCCCTCTGTGCAGCCAACCCCCACCCCCTGCCTTCCCCTCCTTGATTCCGAGCTGGGGGGTCAGTAGGAGAACGTCCCTCTTAGTAGCCCAGCTCCAGGAATCCCCAAAAGAGAGGCAGCTCCGTGCCTCCCCTGGGAGACACGCCAGTTAAACTGCAGCATGAGCCGGGCCCAGCCAGAGCCCAGAGGGGGGCAGGGGTGAAACGGCACAAAAAGAACCGACAGTGGGAAGGGCTGGGGGGGTAGGGAAGGGGGGAGATGGGGGAGGGGCTATCTCTCCCCCTCAGCAGGGCTCAGGTGCTGGAACGATTGACATCCCTTGACCCAGCAAATGACACTGAGGCCACTGTGTATAGCAGTGATCCGCAGTACAGAATCTGTACCCCCCTGCCCCAAATATGGCCCTGAGACCCACGGTATAGAATCTATACCCCCAGTGCCACAGTATAGAGCCCTGAGACCCACGGTATAGAATCTATACCCCCAGTGCCACAGTATAGAGCCCTGAGACTGACGGTATAGAATCTATACCCCCAGTGCCACAGTATAGAGCCCTGAGACCCACAGTATAGAATCTATACCCCCCAGTGCCACAGTATAGAGCCCTGTGACCCACAGTATAGAATCTATACCCCCAGTGCCACAGTATAGAGCCCTGAGACCCACAGTATAGAATCTATACCCCCAGTGCCACAGTATAGAGCCCTGAGACCCACAGTATAGAATCTATACCCCCAGTGCCACAGTATAGAGCCCTGAGACCCACAGTATAGAATCTATACCCCCAGTGCCACAGTATAGAGCCCTGAGACCCACGGTATAGAATCTATACCCCCAGTGCCACAGTATAGAGCCCTGTGACCCACAGTATAGAATCTATACCCCCAGTGCCACAGTATAGAGCCCTGTGACCCACAGTATAGAATCTATACCCCCAGTGCCACAGTATAGAGCCCTGTGACCCACAGTATAGAATCTATACCCCCAGTGCCACAGTATAGAGCCCTGTGACCCACAGTATAGAATCTATACCTCCCAGTGCCACAGTATTGAGCCCTGTGACCCACGGTATAGAATCTATACCCCCAGTGTCACAGTATAGAGCCCTGAGACCCACAGTATAGAATCTATACCCCCAGTGCCATAGTATTGAGCCCTGTGACCCACATTATAGAATCTATACCCCAGTGCCACAGTATAGAGCCCTGTGACCCACAGTATAGAATCTATACCCCCAGTGTCACAGTATAGAGCCCTGTGACCCACAGTATAGAATCTATACCCCCCAGTGCCACAGTATAGAGCCCTGTGACCCACAGTATAGAATCTATACCCCCCAGTGCCACAGTATAGAGCCCTGTGGCCCATCATATGGAATCTATACCCCCAGTGCCACAGTATGGAGCCCTGAGATGGCTCCTGCCTCTCAGCCTGTGCCCTTCTGGGCACCTCACAAGCAACAGCCGTTAAACAATCAACATCCCCATGGAGAAAACTCACCAAGGTGACCGCTTCCCCCTACCCCCAAGCCCTGGCTGGGGTGCCTGCCAGAGAACCAGGTCTCCATGCAAGCTAAGCCGAGCTGGGGTGATTCGCAGCTTCCCCCCAGCTCTGGGCTTCAAAGGCAGGGCCACGAGCTGTGTCAGCCAGCCCTGGAGAGACAACCAGCCCCTCCGATCCCCAGGCCTACGGGGGAAGGCCAAGCCACAGGAGCTCAGCAGTCGGTTGGGTTTGGATGGGGGCAACAGCAAGCCGCTGGGCGTGCTCAGCTTCCCCTTTCTCCTGCAGAACCCCACTCCCGGCCCTGCAACTCCAGCAGGACCCTCCGTCAGCCCCAGGAAGGTCCTCGGGGCCTCCGTGAACAGCCAACTCCACTTCTGTGGCTACCCTCCCTCCTCTGCTGGCCTGAGCTCTTCACAGCCCCTTTCACGCCAAGCTCTGTGACCAGCCCCCCAATTTCTTTACACGCCAAGGGGCAGACTCTGGTCTCAGTGACCCGGGCACAGTGCCCATGTCCATAAAGTCACAGCGAGGGTGAGCAGTCAGCACGTGTGAAAAATCGGGACCGGGGTGGGGAGTAATAGTCCTCTATATAAAAAAAAGCTCCGACTATCGGGACAGTCCCTATAAAATCGGGACATCTGGTCACCCGAGTCGCAGCCAGCACCGTCACCGCAAGGCAGCTGCCCAAACGATACACCAGCTGAGCACAGGAAATGGCAGGGAGCCCCGTATCCAACAGGAAATATGGGGAGGGATCTGAGAGGGGGGAATGGTTCTGCTTGGCCTCCGGCTAGGATTGGGGGCTAACACTCGCCAGACTTCCGAGCAGCCTCCAAACCCCGCAGCGTTCCCGGGGCGGGGGGGGGGAAGGAGCCACACAGCTTTCCGACCTCCGAGCAGATCATCTCCTTAGCCGATCTCGAACCCCATTGCATTAGAGTGTCTGCCAGTCCAACTCCCTCCAGAGATACCAGTGAGCTGCCCTCATGGCCCTTCTCCCCCCTAAGCTCTCCCAGGTGAAGACACCAACACCCCTCTCCGCCCCCTCCCCCCCCAGACTCCACCCACTCAGCCACACTCCCCGTGCAGCTCCATCCCAAGGGCGAGCGAATGAGCGAACTGACCTACCAGTGCCCGGTGGGATCCCGAGAAGCCTCCCAAGCCTGCCAGCTGGGTTCTCCTCCTGGAGCCCCTGGCTCAGCTGTGGTAGCCTGCCACCCGGGGAGATGGTAAAGAGACCCGCGATCGAGCCGGAGGCGCTTCAAACTCCTGAGTCATGCTCACCTTCCTAATCTCTCTGGCCCACCAGCCCGGCGCGCTCCCCTGCCGCTTAGAGATTCACCCTTACTGCAGCCCCGTAAACAGCGCTATCTGGAGAGACCATCTTGCAGAACCTAGCCTTCCCCTCCCTGCCCATGGCCATGGCCGCCACCTTGCCCAGCCCCCATCTCTCTTGCCTCCATCTCTCTCGCCCGCTACTAACTTCATTGACTTTTGCAAATTAGGTTTAATGCACTTTTTTTTTTTTTTTTTTTTGTTGGTGGGTCGTGTGGATGGCCCAGCTCCTGTCCTTGCAATATCTTGTTTACCAATTTCTGGGGATTCCCTTTGGGGAAAGCCCTGGGCGGACGTGAGGCGGGGAACCCTTCTCGAATTTTGTTGATTTTTTTAAAAAGTGCTTCTGGTGAGGCATCTCCCTGGCGGACATTACGTGAGGCATTTGAAGCAAGGGCTCAACTCCTGCCGATCTCACTGCAAGCGTGCCTGTATTTGCTAACATGTCCATACCACGGTTATCCGTGAATAGCCCAGGGGCATAGCACGCGCCCAGTGCGCTGGGCATCACACCAGGTGTTTGGACCTGCTGTGCTCAGTAGTCCACCGAGGGCCTGATGCCTGGCCCGCTAACGTTGAAGGAAACGCTCCCATTGACTTCACTGGGCTTCGGGGGCAGGTTCCAGGCACATTCTGCATGGATGCATTTGAAACTTTCACCGGCTCAACAGGGTTGTTCTACCTAGATGTACCAGTGGTGCAGCCACAGGTTCTAGGTATGTCAAGGCAGAACGTACCCAGTGTATTGCCAAATAGCAGCTCCAGGTAGAGCTCACCTGTCATGCTGCTGAATGGCCCAGCCGCATGCAGGTAGGACACACCTGCCACGCTGCCAAGCATTCTAGATGTGTTTTACCTCCATGTATGCACAGCACGCCTGATCTACCAGGATGTGCCTGGACTGTCCAACATCCTGGCCGGCGTGTTCTACCCGGGTGGATCTAGAACCAGAGCCCTTTGTCATCTCTGATTTTTGCAGCCTGGAATCTGCCATGGGAGCCACCCTACACTGCAGGTATAGGCTGGGAGCTTTCATTTCTTCTTTCTGAATTACCTTTCTAGCCCTTGTGGTTGTAAAAAACTCGAGAGCAACCCGTGTAGAGATGGCCAAGCTGCCAGCTCTCCCCACAGTGCAGTCATGGGTGGTTAACTACAAAATCGGTGGCATGCTCACAATGTCGGGGAAGACCAATGGGAACTGTATTGAATCTGAAGATAAATAACAAGAGATCAGGCTGCTGATCGCATCCTTTATTTGCACATTCAGTTCTGCAGAAACCTGCGCAGTGAGAGCAGAACGTCCAGCCTGCTGCAAAATCCAGGTCCCTCACCACAGTCAGCAGGGCCTTGTTGCTGCAGAGAGCTCTGGGCACTGCTGAGACCATTAGGTAGCATGGCAGGGGCGTTACATTTTGATGTAGCCAGAATGCTCAGCTGCACAGCCGGTGTGGGCTGCCCGGAGGTACCCAGAATGCTCAGCTGCACAGCCGGTGTAGGCTGCCCACACGTACCCAGCATGCTCAGCTGCACAGCCGGTGTGGGCTGCCCAGAGGTACCCAGCATGCTCAGCTGCGCATGCAGTGTGGGCTGCCTGGAGGTACCCAGCATGCTCAGCTGCGCAGCCGGTGTGGGCTGCCCGGAGGTACCTAGCATGCTCAGCTGCGCAGCCGGTGTGGGCTGCCCAGAGATACCCAGCATGCTCAGCTGCGCATCCAGTGTGGGCTGCCCGGCCATACCCAGCATGCTCAGCTGCACAGCTGGTGTGGGCTGCCCAGAGGTACCCAGCATGCTCAGCTGCGCAGCCGGCGTGGGCTGCCCGGAGGTACCCAGCATGCTCAGCTGCGCAGTCGGTGTGGGCTGCCCGGCCGTACCCAGCATGCTCAGCTGCACAGCCGGTGTGGGCTGCCCGGAGGTACCCAGCATGCTCAGCTGTGCAGTCGGTGTGGGCTGCCTGGTCGTACCCAGCATGCTCAGCTGCACAGCCGGTGTGGGCTGCCTGGAGGTACCCAGCATGCTCAGCTGCGCAGCCGGTGTGGGCTGCCCGGAGGTACCCAGCATGCTCAGCTGCAGAGCAGGTGTGGGCTGCCCGGACGCACCCAGCATGCTCAGCGGCAGCCCTCCAACTGGCATCTCAGCAGAGACCTTGTGGACCCCAAATGGCCAGAGCATCAATGCTCCTTACCGCTCATTCCCAGCGCCTGCCTTTTTGACCCTTCTCGCATCAATAGCAGAGTGATACAAACCCCACCCAGCCCTGCTCACCTAACCAGCCCCACTCCCCAGTAAAGCCAACCCAACCACTAGGTTCTCTCCATGCCACCATGCCCAGGGGACATGGCATTATAGGCAGAGGAAGAGGCTTCTCCAACTCTGGTACTGACTGACTCGGGAACCTTGGGCTGCTTCCCAGAGGGATCAAGTATTTGCCTTTTCTGTTGATTCCAGGCTATTAGCCTCCCTGTTTGTCCATTTCCTGATGTCTGGGGCTGGTGTGTGGTCCATGCTTGGTCATCCGACTATGGATCATGCCTAGGGTGAGAGAGGCAACCTGATGGTCTGGACAGGGCGCTGGCCTAGGATTCCATTCCCAGCCGTGCCCTGCGTAACCTTGGGAAAATCACATTCCCCTCTTTTCCGTGCCTCAGTTTCCCCACCTGTAAAACAGTATCAGCCCCTCCCCACCTCTGCACAGCCCTTTGAGGTCGGTGGTTGAAAAGCATGGGAGCACATCAGTGCAAATTGTTCTAGATTTCACAGGCTGCCCTGGACGCACCTCGGAGGCACAAGAGACAGCAGGAAAAACGCATTTCAGCCACCTGGCCGATCGGCAGCTGGCACCAAATCGAACAAAACCTGGCCAGCGTGATGCTGCTCTGCACATATTGGTTTTGCACCATCCACTTATTTTAAGCCGCATGGATGACCTGTGTCTGCGATGTGGGAGATTGTGAGCTAGCCTGTGGGCACACCTCTGGGGACTGGCCCATGCTTCAGGCTACGGGGACCCGTGACTCGTGAGTGTGAGTGGCCTGGTGTGAGTGTGTGTGTCGGGGGCGTCCACGTGTGGGTGTGTGCGTGGCTGTGGGTGGGTGGGTGCCGGGGGTAAACGAATGGGGGTGAGTGAACAGACCTCCCTGGAGCTTGGAAAGTGACCGAGGCCCACCCCTCTCTGACTCAGGGCCTCCCAGTGCCAGGTTCCCCATTGCACATGCTCAGTCCTCACCGGGTACAGATGCTTTCAAAGGAAAATATGCAACTAGAGATTGGGGGGTCCAGCCCACCCACCTGCCTCTTTCCACCTGCTTCCCCTCCCCCCACCTGCCTCTCTTCCCTTTGCCCTCCACCAACCCCCCTCCCCTCCCCACCTCTCGCCCGTCCCTCATTTCAGATCAGCATTTCCCCCCAGCCCACCCACGTTTGCCAGTTACAGCAGAGACGCCGAGCCAGCAGGCTGGCTCCTGCTCTCAGCCCCCTTGGTGTGAACCCAGAGTAACCCCCCTGAAATCAAGGGAGCCCCATTGCACCCCGATGTCACTGAGCTTATCGCCAGCCCCAGCCCAGCCCCCTGCCACTGCAGTTCTCTGGCACCCCCTCAAAGCGGGTTTTATTGCACATCAGCAAAAGCCGGGGCTAGGCATAAGCAGACTAAGCAACTGGTCAGGGCCTCAAGCAGCTCCAGGGGGCCTGCATTTGCTTTTGTTGTATGTGCGGGGGACCCCCCAAATATTCCTGCTTAGGGCCCCCAATGGGCTAGCACCACCTCTGCATCAGCGACTGGCTGTCACCTTGTAAACCATCCCGATGAGTCAAAAGAATAGTAAATATGGCAGGCGACCAGCTTGGCTTAATGGTGAAATCCTAGCGGATCTTAAACATAAAAAAGAAGAGGCTTACAAGAAGTGGAAGGTTGGACATATGACCAGGGAAGAGTATAAAAATATTGCTCGGGCATGTAGGAATGATATCAGGAGGGCCAAATCGCACCTAGAGCTGCAGCTAGCCAGAGATGTCAAGAGTAACAAGAAGGGTTTCTTCAGGTATGTTGGCAACAAGAAGAAAGCCAAGGAAAGTGTGCCTTACTGAATGAGGGAGGCAACCTAGTGACAGAGGATGTGGAAAAAGCTAATGTACTCAATGCTTTTTGCCTCTGTTTTCACTAACAAGGTCAGTCTCAGACTGCTCCTAGCATCAAAATGGGGAAGAGATGGCAGCCCTCTGTGGAGATAGAGGTGGTTAGGGACTATTTAGAAAAGCTGGACGTGCACAAGTCCATGGGGCCGGACGAGTTGCATCCGAGAGTGTGAAGGAATTGGTGGCTGTGATTGCAGAGCCATTATTGCCATTATCTTTGAAAACTCGTGGCGAACGGGGAAGTCCGGATGACTGGAAAAAGGCTAATGTAGTGCCAATCTTTAAAAAGGGAAGAAGGAGGATCCTGGGAACTACAGGCCAGTCAGCCTCACCTCAGTCCCTGGAAATCATGGAGCAGGTCCTCAAAGAATCAATCCTGAACACTTGCATGAGAGGAAAGTGATCAGGAACAGCCAGCATGGATTCACCAAGGGAAGGTCATGCCTGACTAATCTAATCGCCTTTATGATGAGATTACTGGTTCTGTGGATGAAGGGAAAGCAGTGGATGTATTGTTTCTTGACTTTAGCAAAGCTTTTGACACGTCTCCCACAGTATTCTTGTCAGCAAGTTAAGGAAGTATGGGCTGGAAGAATGCACTATAAGGTGGGTAGAAAGCTGGCTAGATTGTCGGGCTCAACGGGTAGTTATCAATGGCTCCATGTCTAGTTGGCAGCCGGTATCAAGTGGAGTGCCCCAAGGGTCGGTCCTGGGGCTGGTTTTGTTCAATATCTTCATAAATGATCTGGAGGATGGTGTGGATTGCACTCTCACAAATTTGCGGATGATACTAAACTGGGAGGAGTGGTAGA